CCATTGACAGCTGCGGTACCCGGATGGAGCATAATGTGTGCATGCTGAGCGGATCAGCCAGCCAGGCACCAAGTTTAGATCTTCAGGTGCCTTGACGCTGCAGGAGCATGGAGCTGGAGGCTGTGATGTACAAGTACAGCATGGAGATGGAAATATGGAAGTCGCTAAAAATACAGTACAGGGCAGTGGAGCTGCGTCAGTTGGCATCTCCCACCGTCCCGTATCATGCAGACTTCATGCACCTATACGGAGCATATACGGCGCGAAGTAACGCCATGGTTGGTGCCTGCTGCTGCAGACAGGCACCGCTGGAGCATGTTCCGAACATTGAGCCAGACCCTTCCACCTCGTCCCTGGGCCACTAATTCCGAGTTTCTCTCTGCCGCTAGGACTCCCTCAAGCCTACAGTATTCCCCTGGCCGGCACAAGCGCTGCGTGCTTTTCCACCTGCCCAAAAGCATCGCCCAGCCCAGACATTGCTGGATGTGGATTCTGCCTACGCCATAAGCCGTTAGCACTGCCTGTAAGGTAGCACCGCTGACGGTGAGGCAAAGATGCACGAGAGCACGAGCAACAGCGCTCATGTCTTTTTTCTTTTTTGGGGAATTATTCTACTGTATTCTACTGTATTCTGCTGTTCATCTCTCTGCTCGTTCAAAGCAAGGAGGTGGTTCAATCAGGCCACTGACCCCTCGCGCGTAGCTGTTTCTGCGCTGCTTCAGCTGGCGTGGCCCGTCTGCTCGGCTCATTGGACCACCTCATCGCCGCTGTCTCAGTCTGCACACCACACCACCGCATCGCCCAAACCTTGCTCCTCCAAGCTCGTATTGCGGGCACCAAGGCCACTGGCCTGGTTTTTGGCGCCTCCTTTACCCGCTCGCTCCCGCAACTATCGCTCTGATTTACGAAGTGCCGTCCCAAGTACGAAGGGCCCATATTGTAACGTCGTTCGACGTCGCTTTTCCCTGCCCCCACGTGCGTTCACTGAATGCTTCCTGCACAGGGCCAACACCCAACCGCCTTTCTGCCGAGGACAGGCCTTTGTGGTTGGGTGGCTTTTTTCATCCTCGCTTTGTCCTTGTCCTCCTTCATCGTCGTTCATCTCCAACGCGACGAGCTTTCACGCTCCATTGTCCTTTGTGGCGGCCCTCGTACCCCAGGAGCGAGGCGCATGTTCCCAGCCGTGCGGCACCGGCTTATTACCTCGTACCAGCCACATCGTAGCCACTGACGAGCTTTTCTCCCTTGTGTCGAATCCATCTCGCCGCCAGCTTTCCCTCTGGCTGTCTATTTTTACGCCTCTCCCCAATCGACTTGCCAGGCAGCATCAAGCGACCCCAGCAAAATGTCCAGCCAAAGGACTCGACCCGCTCGGTCAAATAGCTTGCAGCGCATGCTTGAGCTCGAGCGTCGTTACATGGTAAGCGGAGACCAGGATGTTACGTCTCCAGGTTTCAAGGCTTTAAATGATGGTCTTAAACATGCTAATGCGCAACCTCTTCCAACCATATCTAGCTCGAACGACTTCAATCCACACCCAATTCCAATCCCGACTCAAGAATCGACACCGTCTCTAGACCACCGCCTACCACATCGCATCGCCCTGTAGCTCAGGCCTATCGCATTGAAACCTCTGCCAAAAAGGATGCTCGAAAGGCTGCCAGCACAACCAGAGAGAAAATGGCCATCACTCAAATAGTTCCGCTCACCATCAACATCAGCTCCACTAATCTTGGGCTGGATGCGACATCCGAGACAGTTACCGACGCGCAAACCAAACCGGTAATCCTGCCTCAAATTCAGCCAGGAAGCAAGCCAATACTTAAAGCTGTATCTTTTGACGTTCCTCTGAGTAACGATGAAGATGAACGGAGATCCATTTGTCAGTCTCCAAGTTGGGAGGCATACGGTCGGCGCAAAAAGACCGAAAAGAAGGATACAAAAAAGGAGCAGAAGAAGGAGCAATTGAAGAAAGAGCAGCAGAAGAGGGAGGAGGAGAGAAAGGAGCAAGAGAGAAAGGAGCAGCTGAAAAAGGAGCAACTGAAAAAGGAGCATTTGAAAAAGGAACAGCTAAAGAAAGAGCAGCAAAAAAAAGAGCAGTTGGAAAAAGAGCAGCGCAAAAAGGAGCAGCAGCAAAAGTCGTCAAAGCGTGAAAAGGAGGAATCCATACTCAAAAATGCTTTAATTAAGAAGAAGCGCTTGAGCAAGCAGCCTCCCCCTTCTTCGCCGCATGCCCTAGACCAAGCGAATCGTATGACGTCTGCAGCGGCGGCTTCGAGAGACAAACAAAGACCTTCGAGCGCGCTAGAATTTACAACTCCCTCTAGAGATGACTTGCCTCATCGCCCTCAACATGGACGATCCGGCTCCTTCACCTCTATGATCAAGGCTCCCTTTGAGTCTCGGCGGGCTTCCCTTGAAACATCGCGTCCTAGCGAAACCGGCTTTATTGGAGGCATCAAGCTGGAAATTCAACGTCATGCTGCCTCTCAGAAGACTGTGGAAGGACCTGAAAATATGGATGAATCCAAAATCCATCCAGCGCTTCGGACGAACAATGCGCACAACCAAAAGTGGTCTGCCCCTCCTGCTCGCCCAAATCCAGAGTCTCAGCGACGGGCTTACCCTCCCATTACTAGACATCCAGCTGCAGCTGCCAAGACAAGGTCTCTCATCTCTTCGGCAGAAATGGATGCTTCTGATACGGGAACAATGGACAGATGGAGAGCCTTTGTTGGCTTGAAGCCCAAGGAGCCCGGGGAGTCGTCAAAGGCCGCTTCGCAGCAACAAGCGTCGAAGCAGCCGGTCATAACCAATGAGGCAACCAAATCTGCGCCTGCATTGCCACCGCCTCAACCGAATACGAGGGACAAACCGGCCGTCGTTGCTCCGTCCCAAACAAGCAGAGGCCCTGGTGTCATTCAGCCAGATCTCCCAAACAGCGGCGGGAAGGCTTTGGACCACAGTTCAAAGCCTAAGCTCACAGTGTCTACGGCTATTCCCCAGTCAAATGGTTCTGCTGCTGTTCAACGGCCACAACCAAGAGAAAACACAGCCCAACCCAGCCTTGCGTCCTCTGTTGATGCTATGAAGGGCGGTGAAATTACAGACAAAGGACTCACTCAAAACGGAACCTCTTCGCAGCTATCTTTGCCACCTGCACCACCTCGTCGAAGTTCAAAGCGAAATTCACTCCTGAGCTTGAATTCGGTGTCATCTGTGTCTTCGCCACGCTCGCCAGCACATCGGCCTAGCAGCTCTGACTCGTCTAATAGCAATCACGATCCAACTGCAGCCAAATCAAAAGGGACTTCCGAGTCTCATACAACCGGCTTGAATCTGCACGAACGGACTCACAACTCCCCCAATCCAGCGACCGGCGCTATCGAACAAAAAGGCGTAGAAGGCGGCGGTGCATATCTACATACGTCTACACCACGAGAGGCCAGTCGCATCGCTAGGGACCGCAAGCCAGACCCAATAGAAATACCACTGTGGGATGACATTGAGTCCTCCGTTTTGCAAGTAATCGACACAAAAGTATCGCTGTCTCCGATCCGAAAATCTCACAACTCTCTGCGGGACGATAGCGATTTCACCGTTCGTCGGCTCACAGACGGCCGGCCCCCCACACCCTCGGGAGATGACTCTTCATCTGACGATTTCCACTCGATATCGATGCCTGGTACGCCTGACACCTCCCGACCTCAATCCGAAAAGGAGGTTCCCCCCATGAAAGATGCTGAGAGTAAGCGATTAGTTACGGAGAGTCGCATGAGAAATAGTTCTCAAAGCCCAGCTAGGCAGCCGCTCCTCCTCCAGCCAGGGGCAGGCTCGAGCCAGAATAGTCTGGGGTTGAAGACTCCACGATCTGTGGCCAAGACGACCACTACTGTTGTCACTGGACAATCCATTCACCACCGGGTTCAGTTGGAGGCGGATGTGATACCTGGAGCCGATTTCTTACCGAAGCTAAAGCATCAGCCTTTAAAGATGATGGAACATGTAGCAATACCAAAGCAACAACTTCAGTCAGCGGTGCTAGTCCCTGGACCAGCCTCATACCTTGAAGAGGCTCGAAAAGCAACCCCCTTGGCCCCGCCTCCTCCACTGCTAGGATCGCCTCGCCTTGGTCCAAAAGTCACACCGCCATCCTCCATCCGGAGCCAGCCTTCATCCACGTCTGACCTTGCACTCGCCAAGGCGCCACGGCGCGTACCAGGGTCACCTGTTGTTGGAGGCGAACCAATTGCAAAGATGTTTGTCGAGTGCTGCGGGTGCAAATACTTTCACGATATGCCCAGCAATCTCTATGAAGCCATGGCTAATCCAGAGGCCATCATTCGGCCAAGGGGTAATGTTGGCTTCGCTGGCGCAGTATCTATGACTGTAAAGTGCCCGTGGTGTTCCCACGAGATGAGCACTAAATGCTGTGCTGGCTATGCTGCCATGGTCTATGTGAAGGAGAGGCTGCACTGATGAACGCGCTGGCCTCTTCTTTGCTTCTGTTCGTATCAAAACCATTTATGATGCTACGATTTTCTTTCAACAATAAGCTTGAGCTTTTGCAACGAATCTCTTTTTTTAAAGCAACTAACCATAATAGGAAGAATTGTCTGCTGATTTTTTTTATTACCTTTTCATTCATTCTTTTTTTTTATGACGATTATGATTATGACGATGTATAAAAGCTTGAAAGCCAATTGTGGACTACACTAATTACCAAAATTTGCTTTGGATTTGTTGCTGATGTGAACTATCTTTCAACCATCTACGAAGTTTTTCATATGTGCACGGGAGAATTTTACTGATCATGCTATCAGAGTACGTCGAGGTGAACAAATTGGACTTTGTAAGATGAGGGGATCGTTTGCACGTGTTTAGTAAAACTGGGACAAGGAAATATGATGAAATAAATTTTATGAAGCGCTATCTCCTGGATGGATGTGATGTCTTTGTGTGCATCAATATTGCCCACCCTTCTTGCTGTAGGATTCGAGTTACAGGACATATGATCTAGTTAATTCATGGTTTCGTTGCTGAACTTCAGAGACCTTCTTGGCGAGTTCCAAGTTTGTGGATCGCAGAGCTGCCACGGCCTGAGTAGCACGACCAAGTTGGCCTTCTAAGAGTTCCTCTCTCTTTTCCAGGATTTTAACACGATCGTCTAGAAACGAGAGTCTCGCGTGGAGACTGACCTCGTATCCCTGGCGATCCTGGATCTGGTCGCCGTCGTCGTTGCTGTCAGCTTCGTTGCCATACATGGCCGAATCATCATGCTCCGGGGGGTCGAAGCCGTTTTCAGCGAGGACTTCGATGAAGGGCTTATACGGCATCTTGGCTTGGAGGCGAATGACGTTGTAAAGCTGGTCGGCGAGACGGATGGCAAAGGACCAGGGGTCGGTACCTCGATCGTGGGTCATGGGCATGTTGTTGAGGGGCTCGATGGCGGTGCGGTTGATGCGAGGCCAGCTTTCGTGGCTGGCGTGGTCAAAGGTTGGTTCCTTATCCGTGAGTTCTACATGGAGATAATATTGAGTCTGTTGCCCAAGAGAAATGATATGAGGGGACATATAACATACTTTGAAGAGCGTATTCTTCTCGAAGAGCGCGCATGAACGACTTTATGCTCCAGTGGGTTGTTCGATCGATGCTAAGAACATTCTTGAGGATATCCATCACTTGTTCTGTGAATAGTTCTGGAGATTGTTTGGAGTTGGTGATGTGGTGGCAGAGGAGGTCTTCCAGGTCCTCGAGATCGCTTATAAAGTCTCTTGGCTCTCTCGGGTTGGCGGCCATGATGAATCAAAATGCAATAAGATTGACTGAGATGGATGGCAAAGATGGATGAGATTGAATGGCAGCCTGTGCGTTGATATTTAGAGCATGAAAGAAAGGTAGAAGAGAATGATTTGAGGCATCGAGGCTCGATTTCCCTGTCGAGAGGTTGAGATGGGGAGGGAATAGGAGTGGCAGCTGGTGCGCTGTAGGCGGTCCAAGGCTGAACAGATGGCCCATTCACTTCATTGTGAATTAGGCTTGGCCTGAGGCGGCTCATTGTCATTTCACTTCTTCATCATCTTTTCTTCTACTTTAAGGCAGGTTACGGCAAGATTGAATCACCGCTGCGGCACTGAAGGGCTTGCTGATTGTTGCTGTGTGACGGTGTCACCGCTTGTGTAACGTGCAATCATTTTTTAATCAACTAGTGGGATAACCATCAGAGAAGCATTTGTTAAAAGCAAATAATAAAAAACACACAAAAAAGGAAGAAGAATTTCTTGTGTCGCAAAGGAGGTCTGCCTTTCTCTAAAGGCAAAGTCAGTACTTGTTTATTGTAGACGCAGAAAGAAGGAATATTAGCCTGGGGCTAGCTGATCTAGAAGGCCGAATGCTACCCAGCTATCTTGGTTTTAGTGGGCTAGGCGAAAATCCAGATGCTTCTATCTCGATATCCATTCTTTCTGTCACTTGTCCCCATGTTTCACGAGGGTCAGCTGCAGCCATGGCTAAGGGGTATTGTCCGGCACTCTTGAGAAGCGCCCGCGGCTAAAGCTCGTGCGGAACAGATGATTAGCCTAGAAAGTAGTCCTGGCTGGTGGATGACGATAAGGCGATGCGTTGCTCGTACGTAAACGAACTAATCAGGTAATAGGCCTATTTATTTCTCCGAAGCCGCCGCCTTTTCACTTCTTGCTTCAGCATCTCCACGCCCACTTTAGCAAGACAACGTGCAAACCGCCATCTGCAGGGCTGTATCCCCCGCCAGTGCTTTCCAGGTGTCAGGATTGATGAATTTGTTTATGGTTATAAGTTACGACTGCAATGAGCTCAAAGGGCTCGGCTGAAGCATCAAAAGGTACTGCCAAACAAGTGCTGTTCGCACCGTACAGTTTATTTTTTTTCTTTCTATTTCCGCTTACAGCTGCTGATAAATTTCGTTGTTTTTCTGTATAGGCTGCCGCACCTGTATGCGGCGACGCATTCGATGTGACCTCGGTCGTCCGGCTTGTTCAAAATGCATCAAGAAGGGCTTCAACTGTCCAGGATATGGGAGACATCTGAGATGGGCTGATGGCGTGGCCGTCCGCGGCAAGCTGAAAGGCCAGAGGCTGCCTGTGGCGGGCTCGGTGCCTATGGAGTTGCCGGCGCCAACAAATGAGGATTCGGTTTCCGTTGCGACTTCGCAGGCCCTCCAAGCGATAGAACCGGCGGCCCTCAGTATTAATAAGGCGATAGAGACCGCCTCTGCGACACCGAGTCTGCTAAATTTCACACTCTGGGCGTCTTCACCGGATATAATCGAATATTATGACAAGAATCTGGCGGGGCGAATGGTTTGGATCGATTCGGAAGAGAATGACTATCGACGGCGGATGCTGCCCATGGCTGCCAACGCCCCGGGCCTTCGGTTCGCCATTGCCGCGTTTTCTCTGTATCATGGCTATCACGGACCCACAAAGTTCCCAACCGAGCTGGGTCGATATCACGAAGAGGCACGAGACGCATGCTTGGAAGTTTTGCAGAGGCAGGTCCGAGAAATGAACAGCCGACTCATCAGCGGAGCGGAGCTGAATACCCGTGCGGACGTTGCCAACGCAGAGTGGATGCTGGCCTGCATCCTCGTAATTGCCAACTATGAGATGGCCAAGAATCATTCCGAGGCTGCCGAAGGCCATCGACTTGCCGCAAGGAGGATTGTCAATGTCTTTGGGCAGAACGAAGCTTGTAACAAGGGCCTGTTTGCATTTCTAAGAAATCAGCTCGCAATCCATGAAGTTTTAGGCTCAGCAACGTCTTTCGACTTGATAGATGTGGCAGAGACGGTTCTACCTACACCAAACTCTGGAAGCCATGTTCTGTTTTCTGAATACCTTTCATTCCTGCACCAAATCACTCTAGCATCACGGCGATCCATGGCCGTTAATGAAGCCATCGACGTGTCACAGTGGCCCGAAAGCTTTACAGCGATCGAAATCCAGTCACGTTTTGAGCAGGCAAGAGGCCAGACCTTGATGATTGCGGGCAAGCTACAAATGAGTCCGCCGATTGTCCGCCGCGACTTTATCAGATTAGTGGACTTGTACCACCATGCAGCAGTTGTCTATGCATACAGATGCCTGGGTTATGCAACACCAGATAATTTCGATTGGCTGGCTTCAGTTATGAAGCTGTTTGATCAGTTTGATCAGATTGAGAACATCTCCATCTGCGTTCAAAACTTACCGTGGCCGATTTTCATTGCGGGCACAGAGTGTCATGGCGATGCAGAAAGGCAGCACAAAGTTGCCACAATCCTTGATACTGTCATCAACATGACGGGCTTCAACCAGTACGAAACTATCCGGAGTTTTCTGACGCAGTTTTGGAACGGCCCAGAGCCCAACTGGCTCCTAGTTGCACAGCAGCTGCAAGCGAATGGACTTCGAATTCTTGTCGTATGAAACACTATGAACCTGTTCGAATTGGATACCTATTCTATCTGCGAATAGTTTCTGCGTCTAGGACGTTGAATATCTCCTCCATTGGATCTTTATACTTGTATAGACCCAAAGCTGGCGGGCATAGCCCGTATCCCAGTAGACGCAACAGCTGTGGTGAGAATCCTTGGGCTTTGGCTACCTCTGGTGGCAATTCCAAATACTGATTCTCTTCTTGCCTCAGGGTACCTTTGCACATAAATACGCCAATCGTCTCACGTGCATCGTCTCTGGACAATCGAATACCCATTAGTGTCATAGTCACAATGCAGGCGGGGGCTGGAGAGGGGGGAAGTACTTGGTGACGTTTGCGCCCCCTGCATGATATACGTTGCCAACGAATATGGCGGCATCGCCGACTTCCAATTCTGCCGAGATCGTTTCTTCATCAAGAGGACATCTATCTGGCCCCCATAAGTGGCTCTTTGGAATGATGACAGTTGCGCCATTCTCCTTTGTCGTCTTGGATAAGGCCTGGAGATGGTAAACTATTATCAGCGAAATATTCGTTCCAACGGTATAAAAAGTGAAGAACAAAGCCGTACCGTGACGCAGCCCAACATTACCGGCATGTCGCAGTTTCGAGTGTGGTAATCCGAGTCATCTCTGTGGAGAGGCTGCTGCTTGCCGCCAGGCTCAACACGGAAACCTACTATGCTTGCAACTTGCGGCTTCGCTGCCACGCTCTTTTGTTCTTGACCCTCCCAGTAGGTATATCTGCTGGTCAACATCCGCTCTGCGACAGACTGAAAGAGGGGATTCACCACCAGCTGAGCGCTGGCCGGTGAATTTGCGAGAATACCAGAAGCACGCTTTGTGGTTCTAGGGAAGAAGCCAGCAGGATCTGGCTTATCGGAGTCAAATATAGGTCTCAGATCTTTCTTAATCTGCGCACAGAGAGATTGGGCAACGAGATTCTTGACGATGACAGCGCCGTCCCTCTCTATGAGAGACTCCAAGAGTTCAGCAGTTGTAGCTGGATCGTCGGCATAGACGGTGGTGATTTTCTTGCCGGCTTCGGAAGGAAATTCCTCTGTAGCGTAATGTTGAGTATAAGTCATTTTGAAAAGAAATTTTACGAGTAGATGATTTCACGAGCAGATTATGAAGGATATTTTGGATAGAAGGGTTTAGACCAATACAATGTCAAAAAGTTGTACGAGTGCAGCTCCTCGGCCCCTTTTATGTCCATTCAGCAGCAACAATATCGTCATGAGCGACCAGCTTATTCCTCGATCTTGAAGCCTTCTTTGGGAGATGGCAAGAGAAAAAGTACTGCCGCGCCGAATACGGCATCACCTGCGTGCCGCCTTGCCAATCCAAGCAACTATATCGAGAATGACATGTCGACTACAAGGGTCTCTCTCTTCTTCTCTTAATCTAGGAGATGCCTTAACCGAAACCGACCACACCTTGAGAGAAACTTTAAAAAAAGAAGAAGCAATAATGATTCCTTGTTTCCCCTCTCTCTTCTTGAGAGCAGTATTGCTGGGAGGGCGCATCGGCGAAGCTTCTCCGGTTAGTTGCCTGATGGGGTTAGAATGGAGATGGGGAGGAGACTCCGCTAGATGGGGGTGGAGAAGCTTGGGGCGATGGCAATCGAGAAGATGGGGTAGAAAAGAGATCTTTGGCCGATAATTATTTCATTTTGGAGAATAGCCTATTGGTGTGGGCTTTTATGATCTAACAGGGGAATGCTGCCTTTGGTGGAAGCTTGTAGGAGAAGGGATCTGATGTGGTGGGGAGGATGTGGGAGAGGTTGTTGATATCAAGGGAGATTGATATAAGATACATTTATTTGGTTATTTAATTTGTCATCTAAAGACATATGAGCGTGCTAGTAACGTAAGTAAATGCCTAATTTACATTGCTAATGTTTCCTATACCAAGGAATGGTACAACCATCTTCACCGGCTCACCAGCAACGTCTTTGGGCTTAAGCTTTTTACTATTCTCCTTATTATGTTCATCTCTCGCTTGCTAGTTGCAGATAGTATATATACATTTTCCCTTTTAGCTAGTGCCATTGGGCGTGGCTTTCCTCTTCACTTCAATCGCCGCATCAAGCGCATCCTTGAGCGTATCAATCAGATCCTCGACGTCCTCCAAGCCAGCAGAGATTCTTATACTCTCCTCGAGGGCATTGTATCCTCTATACTCTTCCTTTTCTTCGGCTTTCTTGCCAAACATCATCATGTTATATGCCAGCATAATGGTGACGTGGCCGCCCAAGTGCGGGCTGGAGTAGAATCCGCAACGGTCGTAAAAGGCTCTAGCAGTCGCTACGCTCTCAAACTCGACGTTGAAGAGACATCCGTAGCCCGGGTTGGGCAGCTCGACGGTGCTGCGCCGCAAGAAGCGGTCGTAGTTGGATTTGTCGGCCAGCAGGCTGGGATACTGGACTCGGACAACGGGGGAGTCGTCGCGGCCAATTGTGCTGTGCAGAAAGGTCGCCATGGCCTCTGCGTTGCGGTTCAGGCGGCGCGTCCGCTGGAGGAAGTCGTGCGAGTTGGCCAGAATCACCTCGGCATCGCCGGCAAAGAGCTCGTTGTTGTGAGTCTCTGCATATCGGCGAGACAGCTCGCCGTAGTGGGGAGACAGCGGGTTGAGGACGATGGAGCCACCGAGGACGTCGGCCCTGCCGTTGAAGCTCTTGGTGAGAGACGTGAGGACAATGTCGGAGTGCGCCAGCACGTCGACGTTTGCGAAGCCGGCAATGGTGTCGTCCACAATCAACACGAAGCCGTGCTTTTCGGACAGCTTCTTGAGGCGAGGCAAGTCTGTGCTTTCCAGCGTCGGGTTGCCTGGGAACTCGACAATGACGAAGCTCACTTTCCGGCCCTCCTTGGTCTCTCCCTCGAACCAGGCTTCCATATCATCGAGGCCCTGCTTGTCGACCTTGCCGAAATGCTTGAAGCCGTTGGGGCTCTCCTCGACCAAATGGTGCTGGGTGTTGTGGAAGACTACGCCGAGGACGATGTTGGTTCCAGGGCGGTACTGCTGGATGAGATTTGTGGTGTGGTAGATGCCGGCCATGCCGCTGGGGTAGAGGTAGACGTCGTCGGGTTTGCTCTTCACCAGCTCGGGGTCAACAGAGGCGCGGTGGATGAACTTGTTGACGCGTTCACGGAGCAATTGGTGAGCTGGGCCAGCGGGCGTGAAGGTTGGTTTGGGAGGGTTCTTGTAGTCGTCGAATGGGACTTCGACCAGTGAGTCAATGTTGCTCAGCAGGTGCTCTGCCATGCGGATGGAGAGTCCAAGGCCGGGGTTGCCCCAGCTGAGCATCAGGGCTTTGGTGTGCTGGGGCTCAAAGATGACGGCGTAGACACGATGGCCGGCCACGTCGACGCATTTGAAAGTGAGCTTCTCTGGGTCAATGGCGGCTTCATCCCGGTGCGAGTTTCTGACGTGGCCGGCAGTGTACGGGAACATGATGGGGTTGAGATAGACCATGCAGCCTTTGCCCTCGTAGCCCAGTTTCTTTGCTACCTCTTGGCCGAGCTGTATAAACATTGTATCTGATCAGCTATCGTCACATTTGGACAGCCTGGTCCGCTCATTTCAACTCACCTTGCCAGCGAACTGAGTCGGCCCAAAACGCGGATAGATGTTGACAACCCTCGCCATGGGAGACATGTCTCCGTCGCGAAAGTTCCGAAGCAAATCCCATCCCGGCAAGTTGGAGATGATGCTGTACGGCGTCTGAGGGGGTGGCGCATTGCCAAAGTCAGACTGCGGTTTTAGGACGACCATTTTTGTATGAGTGAGTGTATATTAAGATGAAGTCTCTGAAAGATGTAAATATGCAAAGATGAGAATTGGAGAGAGAGTAAGAAGAGACGTGGTCTTATTTTAAAGCTTCAGAGCAAGCTTGTTGAATCAGCACTGCCCAAGAACGGATCAAATCGGACTTGTAAGATGTCCATGTGGGCTGGTTAGCCTCTATATTCTTTTTAGTCCACCACCACATTAGCGGCTCACGTACGACGTAGGATCTAGTTTTATACTACTAGTACTGGTATTTCAGGATGATTAGTCGCATTGAGAAGACAGAAGAGGGCAGGTTTCAATTTTGGGGAGGGAGTTGGATGCGTATATCAGCAGGGCTGTTGTTGCCAAGATGGGCATATGCCTATACGGTCCGCATTCGGATAATGCTGCCAGGTAGGTATTTATTCACTCTGCCACGCAACAAGTGAAGAGACGTCGAATCTCCGCAAATCCACCGCATTCCTTGTTGCTTCAATTTTGCGATATCTGATGGTAGCAGAGAAGCTATTGGTGGGGTTGCGTGAGATGCGTGGCAAGCCATGGTGAGACCGTATATAGCGCCGCCTTTTTTACTTGCTACGGTGACTTTTGACGAGTGCTGCGTATAAGCCTAAATCAAAAACTCCCCATTTATGTTTCCGATAGGGATAAAAAAAAAAAAGTCCCCCAGCTAGCAGCAATATATAGTGTGGAAAACAGCGCCACATATGGAAATAACTGTGGCGAAGACATGTTCACAGCTTCATGTCCAAAGCACCGCATGGACAAGATGCGTTTTGTCTCTCTTCTCCATGGGCAGTCGATTTCCGGGAATGCGGGCCGATTGGTTGATTGGCGATCCACCGTTGGGGAAAGCTTCTCAATCTGCAAACTTTTTCCTCTTTTGACAAATGGCGAGATGACCAATTATACTTCTTAACCCGGGCACTTTGGAAAAGACGCCATCTCCAAGAGTGTATTTACATATACCTTGGCAGAGAAACTACGGTATTTAGATCTACAGGCATAAACACGTTGCGCTCTACTGCTAAATTTGAGATACTGTCAATATCTGTATGTATGATAGGCATAGCCCGCGTCTCCCTATCCACGCCTCAATTGAGCCAAGCATCAACAACATATCGATACTTGTACCTATGGGTGTAAATGCCGATAACGAATCCAACCGTTATTTCACGATACAATCTTCTCATTGGTTTCCTTTTCTTTACTTTTAACTTGGTCAGATAGAGTGTGCATACAGTGCGTCTTTCCGGCTTCCATCTGTGCCCTTATATATTGTCTAGTACTGTCTCATGAGACGAGATGGCATCAATTACATGCAACACAGCCACACTTGCACCTCTTTCCAACAAAAGCGTCAATACATTTCTCTTTTCCAATCTCCATACATTGCTTACCATCGCATTTCACAGATGCAGTTGACCCTTTGCATCACACAGACCAGTCTAGGCACCGGAGCTGAACACAAAGGCAGACTTCCAAGCCCCCAAAATCAGCCCATCTTTACCTGCAGCCCAGCCTCACTTTAGATTGATTAAAAAGCTCGCAGAACAACAAGAGATGCCAATACTATTTGTGATGCAAAGCTGCCTATCGACGACACCCTCTCGCCTTAGGCATATCCCCCCCGCATGACCCGATGATTGGCCCTGGTCTGCTCAACTCCACACCCCGCGAGCCAGCGCCGAGAGTCGGAGGGCCGGCGTCAAAAGGCAGACTCAACATCGTTGCAACAGCACTCTTGACGACAAGGAATGTCGGCAAATGCGTCACGCGGCGTGTCGTTGGAAGAAGCGATGGAATGATATTTATTGGGCATCGCTAATATCGCCATGAAAATATATATACAGCTCCCCTTCTCTCCAAAAGCCAACTTGATGATACCACACTGCAAGCCATAACAGCAGAGGCTCATCCTTGACTTACACCATAACAAATCCACAACACCATGTCTGACATTGTCATCATCGGGTAATTCCCCTCTGCCGAAACCTTCGCCAGCACAATTACAACCGCATCAACAGCTAACACAAGCCATTAAAGAGCCGGCGTCATCGGCCTCAGCGCCGCCCTTCGCCTCCAACAGGCCGGCCACAGCGTCACCATCGTCGCCAAGGACTTCCCCACGCCCTACGAATCCGCCAACAAGCGCGCCCTCATCAACTACAGCTCGCAATGGGCCGGCGCCCACAACCGCTGGATCCTGCCCACCAACCCGGCCGAGCAGCGCGAGCACGGCTTCTCCCTCACGACGTATCGTCACATGGAGGCCACCATGGCCAAGTTTCCCGAAGCCGGCATCACTTTCATGAAGGGCATCGAGTACTTTGACGTTGCGCCGGCCGTGCATGGCGACTTGACCGAGGAACAGGCCCTTGGGCTTGGGCTTGAGGAGTTTAAGCGGCTGGGCAAGCAGGACTTTCCCGATGACAAGGTGACTTATGGATACGAGTACAAGACGTGGTGTCTTAACCCCATGATCTATTGCTCTTTTCTGCTCCGCCAGTTTCATATCCTGGGAGGGAAAATCTTGTCGATGGAGCTCCGTGACGTGAACGAAGCGTTTCTCGTCAAGTCTTTGCCGGGCGTCCAAGTTGTGGTCAACTGCTCTGGGATAGGATTCAACGACACGGCCGTGTTTCCCACGCGAGGTGAGTCCTTTGGAAATAATCCTTTTGACATACTCACTTACTTGCTCTCTCTCTTCTTTCTGCTCCCATACATATATATCGGCATCCACTTACTCATCCGCCCACATCTAGGCCAAACATGCCTCGTCTCCAATCCCTCCGCCATCACCTACACCCGCCAGTACGCAGACGGCACTTGGAGCTTCTGCATCCCCCGAAACTTCCACGGCGGCACCATCATCGGCGGCACCAAAGAGCCCGACAACTGGGACTCGGAGCCCAGCGCCGAGACTCGCGCCCGCCTGCTCTCCAACGCCGCCGCCAACTATCCCACCCTCGTGGCAGACGGGCCATTGCAGCCGCTCGGAGACATTGTTGGCCGGAGACCGACTCGCCGTGGGGGAATCAGACTGGAGAGGGAGGAGATTCCGGCCGGCGACATCAAGGGCTTGCAGGACGATGCTGCGAGGTCGATTGTTCATGCGTATGGCCTTGGTGGAAGGGGATACGAGCTCTCGTGGGGAGTGGCAGAGGAAGTGATGGAGCTTGTCAAGCAGCGAGTTTCTAGCCGTCTATAAGTGTGCTATTGCGTCCATTCAGAACGCAGCCCAGGCACTTTTTGTATCCAAATCTTCATAATCATACAAGCCTTGGTCCCCTCCTCCCGTATATCTATATATTTGTACAAGCATCCTCTCATCAGCTGATGTCTCAAAGTCATCCCAAAGCCGTTTTGCCTGCGCCCAACATTAAACGCCAACGAAAAGACAGAAAAGCAAAAAACACAATAAACATTGCTCTTTGCTTTCAAAAGCAATAAGCCCGCCCTTTACTTGGAGCCGGCATCTCGTCTTGCAGGTGGTATCGTCTCCCCTCTCTTCTCCATCTCCTTCTGCCTCGACAGCCTCACCTCCTCTGGAAGCCCCCACCAGTCTCGCATGAATTCCTCTTGAGCTGCCGCCATCTTGGCTTTTCTCTCGCGCTGCTTCTGTCGCTCCATTCGCAGTGCGAACCAGTCCTCGCGGGCTTTGTCTTGTTGCTCTTGGGTGGCGTGCTGCACCATGCAGGCATTCATGGCGTGGTTTTCAGCTTTGCAGGCAAATGAAACGCTAAATGTTCGACCGAGGGCGCAGTCGGCGAATGCTATTTGAAAGCGTCATTAGCTATAGCTTTGTAACACGGTTCCAATGGAAAGAATGTGAGAGCAATTGGTCGAAGAGAGACAAAAAAAAAATTGAGGGGGATCATGCCACTTTCGAGACAAGCCCATAACCATGCAAATAAAGACAGGGAAAAAAAAACCAGTAAAATGCCAACATACCTTTAATTTCGTCGGCGCACAGTTTTCGCACCCTAGCGTAGTAAATATCTCGAACTTGCGACTCCTGCGAGGCGGACAGAGGCAGCGGATTCCGAGACGGGACGCCGAGCCGTGGTTGAGGGAGATTGGGAGTCTGCGTAGCCATCGTGGCCATTGGGGTGCGCAATGTCCAGCAGCGGTAGGTGTCTCGGTACTAGTATTTAAAACACCTGTACGGCGCCTTGATTGCCGGGTTTTTGAGAGAGGATGTCGATGGGAGCTGGTTTGATACTGGAGCAGATCGGACCCTCTGAATAATCGTCAGATGGGGTTGGAGCTGGGTCGATGATGTGGCAGAATTTTCACCGCCTACTTGATTCGACTTACACCGAAATCACTCAGTAACATCAGCGATTTGATCAAGTTAAAAGAATCTAGCATCACGTTATATTTTTATTCTTTTTCTTTTCTCGGAAATCTTTGTCAAGGAGACTTTCAAAAGTCCTGGAATAAAATAGAAAGCAGCTGCTTTTTACAGTAATTTACGCTTTATGATAAAGGTACCCACCGCGTTCCATCTACATGGAGTTTATTACTTTATCCCCAAGTCAACCAGAATATCCATTGGATACTATAAATAAAATTCCTAATATCTTTCTAATTGCATCATCTCACAAGCCTACGACTACCTACTACGAAGCAGACGTTGATGATTGGCAGCCTCTTGGGCTACGGGACAGAGCCCAAGCGACCCTTGCACTAGCATCGAGAAACAATACCTAGTATGGCATAACAGATGTGCAGTTCCGCAAATGAACTACTGAGCTTACTCACACACGCAACAATTCGTGATTGGATTATAATGTGTGCGTTGGCATCTGATGACGGGTCATGGTTAGCTTAATTCCTGGCTTACTTGTAAACCGCAGTAATGAGGATGTACGACATATTGTTTCATCTTGTTATGAACTTGCTGCTGCTGAACCATCTACTAGTTCTTGGTGAATGCTCTACAAGTATTCAACTATTCAAGTATCGTGCGACTCGTATTCCTAAAAGAATACATATTTTCAGCATGACTCAATTACTAAAAAAAAAAAAAAAAAAAAAAAAAAAAAAAAAAAAAAAAAGAGGAGGCTCCTGCAATTTGAGCTGCAGCCTGCAATATTTCCAACATTGCAGTGAGGGCATTTGCGCCTTGAAACAGGCACCTGTCGGCGCCTACCTAATGAAGATGCCCCGCGCTCACTCGTTATTGACCTTGATATCAACATAAAAACCCGCGCGACTCGCCTCTGATTCGTGCAACCTGATTCACACTTGAATGACTCTGCCTCCAGCCCACAGGAGCGCCTGCGAACATGGCAATGGCACAGAATCAACGGCCCCTGCCCATGGAGATGACGAAGCGCATCGTCGAGCTGGCTTGCTTGCCCAACGGCCCGCACCCGCTGCGCTACAACGCCCCCCAGTCCAGGTGCGCCACGCTGGCCAGCGTCTGCAGGGCATGGCGGGACTTGGTGGAGCGCCACACATTCCGCAACCTGCGCCTGGACCGGGCCCGCCTCGCCGACGTCGACCGCATCGTGTGCCGGCGGCGTCGGGCCTACGTCCGCACGGTGGACCTCGACGTGGAGCTGGAGCCGTATGGCCGCGACGTGTACGGCGCCTTTGAGACGGCCGAGGAGAATGCGCGCAACAGCGCCATCTTCAGCGAGACGCTGCGGCGGTGCTTCGACGCCCTCGGCCGGTGGGCGCCTGCAGGTGGCGGCAGCGGCCTCGACGGCGACGGGGCGGGCATCTGGCTCAGCATCAGGACCTTCTCGCCCAGCGACGTGGACCGCTGCGGCGCGGCAGAGATGGATAGGCGGAAAGGGGACTTGTACAACCAGGACATCTTTGGTGACCGATACGTCCACTCCATCCTCCAGCTGCTCCCGGCCGCCAGCGAGCTGCCAGTCGTCGGATGCGTCTCAAGGCTAAGCTCGAGCAATAGGTGGCACACCAAGGCGCGGCACATCTCTGCAGCAGCGTGGGCGCTCATCGTCAACAGCCTGCCGAATGCCAACAAGATCGACCTCAGCTTCTGGGACAACGAGAAGAAGGATCTGGAGCTGCGCAAACGGCTGCGGGACGGTAAGTCGCTCAACCACTCGAGCCGAAATAGTTGGAATGCGCCGCTTACTCTCACCAAATAGACATTGGCGATGCCCTCGCCCGAATGCACTGCCCAAACGCCGAGGTGGCGCTCTCATGCCGCTACGCGACGCCGAAAGACCACTCCAGCATCCCACCGACACTCATTGACGCGCGCGGGTCAGAGGACGCCTTCGCGCGCGGTCTGCGGAAATGGGCGCGGCAGCTCAAGCGGCTGTACCTTTCCGACGTCGTCATCGCGCCAGAGGTGTTCTATGCGCCATCTTCTGACGACGAGGAAGCGGCAAGTGAATGGCCGTACCTCGAGAGGCTTGAGATCGAGTACGCAGCCGTGACACCGCACGGAACGTGGCTGTTGGAGCGCGATCCGGAGGACTCGCCGCGCGACCGCCCTTCGCCAGTGATTGACATCAATGAGTTTGGTCAGGAAAACTTGTGCATAGAGATGCCGGCGCCCGAGGACCTGTACGAATACGACTTCCGGACCCTGCCGGTGGCCATGGAGATGGATCGAATCCACCGGAGCGTGGCCCGGGCAGCGCGGCGGATGCCAGCCTTGCGGTATCTGTATCTCGGTACGTTTGACCAGGCCATTCAATGGGGCCAGAGGTATCACAGCTTCCTGTATCGATACGATGAGACTAGAGGCGTTGCCACCGCACATTGGGGGAGCTTGCCGGGATATACACCGGCCGAAGACGTGGTTGAGCTTTGGAGGGAGGTGACGGCCGAGGTCCGAGGGTGTCAGCTTGAGGTCTTGATTGATGAAGAAGACGTGTAGAAGAGTGGGTGGCAGCAAAGCGCCATAGACAGCGTCTTTTGTTGTTTGCAACTACCAGTAGAAGAGGTGACAGATGGGTATAGTACAAAGTGCGTGCTCTATGCTGTAATCCATGGCATCGGTTTGTTATACGATGATATTGGCTTCATGATGTGGGAAACTTCTCACTCAGATGGTTAAGCGATTTAGGTGTATGAAAACTCACAAGTTTATACCAGTGGGTATCCAAAGCCTTTTTGGAACTAAAGACATGATTTAGCTTCGTTTTGTTGCCAAAAAAAAGACTTTGACAAAAGAGAATTCAAAAAAGTATACAAGTAAATTAAACCAAGCTGTTTTTACAGCCATCTGTGCTTTGTAATAAAGGTATCTACCGTTGTTTCATCCAGTTCATTACTTTAACCCAAGTCATCCAATAAAACCCGTGGGATATCCATAAATAAAATGCGCCCCAATGACTCACTTCTCCAAATTCCATCTCTTCATCTCCCATTTTCTCAGACCAGCTTCATCTTTTTGCCAACTATGAAGTTTGATAGGGAGGCTGCTGGTGGGGGTGTGTAGATGAAACTTCAGAGGGCGCTTCATGGTAACCTTGGGGCGGGTACTGCTGAGGAGGATATTGACCATATGCCGCCTGCTGATGTTCCTGGGGAGGAGGAGAATAGGTAGCCTGGGGCTGGTAAGGAGACTGGGCCGGAGGATAAGGGCTGGTGGTCTGAGGAGGGTATTGGCCCTGTTGGTATTGCTCCTGAGGGGGATACTGTGCGGTTTGGTGGGCAGCAGGCTGGGGCTGGAGGGGAGTCTGCTGCTGAGCCTGCTGCTGAGCCTGAGTATCGTGCTTGGTCTCCATGGCAATGGTCTGAGGAGTGGCAGTCTCATTGTCAAACAAGAATCTGCCTTCCTTGCGGCCCTTGAGGAAGTTGTGCAGAGTCCAGGCAAAGGTTGCAATAAAGAGAAGCCTATCTGGGTTAGCAATCAAACAATTAGATCAAAGTACACTTTGATTCGACTTACCAGACCAAAGCACCAAGGCCAGCAATGGCAGAAAGCATGTCACCGCCTCTCTTGAACAAGATGACATCGCGCTTGCCAATGTCGCGCTTCTTGTAGCATGTCTCGCTGTTGAAGAGGCTGCCGTCGTTGAAGCAGCCCTGCACAGAGACGTTGAAGACGAACTGTGCGCGCCTGGCAGCGACAGCAGCAAAGGTTGCGAGCCAAAGAATCATCATGACGCCGTCGAGGACGATGATGGCGACTACATGATAGAGTTGATACAGCGTCGGGAGCCGCTCGGTAAGAATGGCGTACAAGGTGACGATCCAAGTAATGAGAGACTAATTGAATTGATTGTTAGGTTTACCTGATTTTGAAATTCATCATTGAATTGATGGGCTGATGGAGAAGAGAATCAACTTACAACAGCCAAGGCAAGACCTTCTTCGTCAAGATAGGCATCGTGCGCCAAATCAGCAGCCAACCCAAGGATGGCTAAAGAAATGAGAATCTGAAAGATACGGGTGACGAACACCCAGAGGGGTGTGACCAGGACATGGGCCTTTTCGCCTTCAGGCTGCTGCATGGTGAAGATGGGTGCTTGGATAGCAACCAACTACTCTTCTTGTTCTGTTGAAAGTACTTGTAGTAGTCCTAGAAAGCTTGTCACAGGACAAAAAGGGCTTCACAGCTTGTTATATACAAACTGAAGAGAGCAAGTACAGGCAGGATACAGCAGCCCAAGAACCGCGGGACAGCACGGCATTCTTATTTCCTACGGCCGAGCAACAAAGACGGCACACCCTTTGGTCTCCGCCACCGGCAGCTCCATCAGCCTGGGAGCAATCGGTGAGGCAGACTGCCGGACCACTGTCCCCATCGCCCATCAAGCTTTGCGGTCTCGCGTGCCATCCCTCGCGCGCCAACAACGGCACTAACAGCGCTGGTGTCCCCTCTCGGGTTCAGCCGCAGGCCAGGGTCTGGTGTTTGGGTTATGCCATTAAGCCGCTGTGAGCTTGGCCCGGGCTCAAAATCAAGGGATCTTGGGGCTGTCACAGTCATTTTTGCCAGGAATCACTGCTAGCCGTGTGCGGCTGTGGCAGGCCATGGCTGTGATGGTGTTCTGGACCCGCCAGACCATAGCGTGTAAGTCACGGTCCGTGGGATGCAGAATGTCGTAGCGCAGCTCCGAAGACCTTGCAAGGCATGAAAGTGCAGCAAGGAAAGAGGTGTGGGTGGGCTTGGGGCACAGAGAATAGGCGAGACTGAGAGGGAAAAAGCAAAAAAGAATGAGCAGATGCGGTCAGGGTGGGCTGCGTTGGAACATGTGGCTTGCATGAGAAGCTGGACGTTTAATGAGGTTGTGAGCCAAGCTCCGGATCAGCTATTGGTGCCGCACGGATCCCAATACGGGAAGTGCTTGGCGCCGATTTGCCAGTTCCGATGGGCGGATCCTTTGCACCGTTCCCTGCTTTTTAAAGGTGCACTGGCAGGCAGTATGAAACTATCGAATGTCGGGAGGGTGAAAGAAGCAAACAAATCTTGACAAGAATAAGGGTGCGCTAGACACGTCCATCTGCATAGCCTAGAGGCGAGCTTCATCCCTTGCATGGGAGATGGACAGCTCAGCGCCCGGGTCGGTACGTATTCATCGTAACTATGTACCTATGTAAGTAGATACACGATAAGTTTGCTTGCTCCACGCTGGTCTGTTCAGAGTTGGCAGCTCGTGAGAACAAGGGGTCCAAATAAGGTGCTGGCCTGGTGCTTAAATCGCAAAGATCGGCAGGACGCGGGATTGATTCCGCCGTCTTACTTGTACCCCAAATATCAAATGCTCATCTTTCCCTTCCGAGGCACGTGGAAGCGCCAGCTTTTTGGGCACCACTCTTGAAAGAGCTTCTTTTTTTTTTTAGATCAGAGACATTGGGCCGTCAGACAGAAGAGGATCCGCCGCGGAATGCAGCCCAGTTGTGAGACCCAGCTCTCGTTGCGCAGGGCCCTATCGCGAGCCCGTCCCAACTCAGCCTCACCAAACTAGCAATTTGCGCCAGCGTCGTTAGCTGCGTCTGGATATTCAAGGATTTGCCCAAGCTAGGCTCGATCCTTATGGTTTCTGCGCCTTCTGTGACCTGTGACACTGTGATACCGTCAGGCTCAGGCCATTCGCTAAACTAAGCGGCGGTCTGCTCCTCTTGTTGTTCATTTTGTTGTTCACTTTGCTCTTGTTGTTGTTGTTGTTGCTGCTGCTCCTGCTGCTGTTGTTGTTGATTGTGCTTTCGTACCATGTTGTAGATGTCATGACGGGTCAGTGCTTGGATACCCGGGTCATTGTCAATCTCTTGCAAATGCTTGAGAATTTGAATTGGCTTGAGCCCAAGCTTGTACAAGGACATGATTTGCGGCTTTCTCTGCTCAATGACGATATTTCGGAACCGAGAGAGCGCTGTTGGAGGAAGCACTTCGTGATTGTGCTCATTCGCCGTGTCGTTTCGACTGCGCCGGATTCTCCATAGACTTATGAAACTATGGCGGTAAATCACGAGCCTATAAGGGCACCCCGTCATCTGGGAGCTCGTCTCGCGGCGCTTGGAAGGAGGAAGGTTTGGGTTATGTTGCGATCTAAACTTCCTTCCCTTGCAGCATCGTAGTTCAAGGAGGTTAGGCCGCGTCCGGTTCTTGACCAGGCTGCAACCTAGAGGCAGAGCAACGGCATCAACAGCAGCCCTGGCCTCTTCGATGGTCTGAAATGTAAGATTGTATAACGACTCCATGGCTGGGGCCGTCAATGGGTAAAGACGTGCTGCGAATAGGTTCGGCTTGATACGCGTAGGTATCTCAGGTGAGGCTCACTGTGAGGGATTAATGTTTTTTTCCAGGGATGCGTTAACAAGCCGCCGACGTAGCGTGACAAGCACCCACGTGACTGCATCAGGCGATTTTCCCTGACTAACCCCTGCATGGCAATTTATTTGGAGGCATGTTACTCTCGTTGAAGGCCTGATAAACCCTCCCTTTGTTTGGTGTAGCCATGGCCCAGCCGCACTCCTCATGCTAGACTCCATGTACATCGGCAGACATGTGCTATCGCTGCCTGTGCGTCAGTTGCAACGCCAGGGGGATTGCTTCTGTGTGACTGGCGCCCTTCAGCCTGCGGCATCCACAGCAGATTAGAGCCTCAATTCTTGGGGTCTCCGGTGACCGCCACTCGTTCTCGTTGCAAGGATCAGCATAGTCGCCATCTTAGAATTGATCCTCCTAACAAATAGGCTACCACTAGGTTCGTGGTTAGGCATATGCGTGTCTCACAAGATCAAGGTCGGGATGCAACTTTAGTTGTTGCTTGTCATGCAGCAGTGTTTACTACAAGTATTTGATCTAATTTTTGGTATCATTTTTTACATTGTGTTTTAGTCCCCCTACTTCTTTACACCTTCTCGTTGGGTCCGGCAATCAGAATCTTAATCACCTGCCCAGTCTTGACCTTTTGGAATGCCTCCTCTGCCTGCTTGAAGCTAACAACGCTCGAAATCAACTTCTTCACATCAACGCGGCCACTCCTGACAAGCTCAACGGCCAGTTCGTAATCGCCAGCTCCATAACGGAACGATCCTCGGACCGTAATCTCTTTGATGCACATGGCCAGAATGGGGAATGTGATGTCGGGCTTGCCCATGCCGCCCTGCACATAAGTGCCTCCCACACGGACGACATTGATGCCCGCCTGGATGGACGGCTCTGCGCCGCTGGCATCGATGACAGCGTCGGCTCCGATAGGCAGGTCCGCAAGCTCCTTGATGGCTTTGGCGTTCTCCTCGGGCGAGATTCGCTGGGATACATAGGTGTGCGTGGAGCAGAAGCTCTTGGCAAAGTCGAGCTTGGACTGGACAATGTCGACGCTGACAACCTTTGATGCGCCGTACGCCTTCGCCACGGCAGCGCAGAGGAGGCCAACAGGGCCGGCTCCCAGCACAACGACCGACTGGCCGGGCAGGATCTGCGCCTGCTTGACAATGTGGACGGCCACGGCGAGCGGCTCAATCAGCGCGCCCTCCTGCAGCGACACGTTGTCTGGCAGCTTGTAGCAGAAGTCGGCGGGAGCTGCCCACAGCCCGGTCAGGGTGCCGTGGTACGGCGGCGTGGCGGCGAAGACCATGTCAGGGCAGAGGTTGTATTTGCCGGCGCGGCAGAAGGCACATCGCCGGCATGGGTAGCCGGGCTCGAGGGCAACACGGTCGCCGGCCTTGAGGTGCTTGACGGCAGAGCCGACCTCGACGATGGTGCCAGCAGACTCGTGGCCAAGAACCATTGGGTCCTTGACGACAAAGTCGCCGATGGCGCCGTGCACCCAGTAGTGGACATCTGAGCCGCAGATTCCGGTGTAGTTTACGGCGACGAGGACATCGTTGGGGTCGGCGATGGTGGGCTTGGGCCGCTCCTCGAAGGTGACGTCTCCAGGCTTGTTCAGGACAAAAGAGAGGTTCTGTTCGAATTCGCCAATTCCAATTGTCAGCCCACTCGATTTTTTCAAGTTTCACACCTCTTGCCTCTCCTTTTGTAAATTCCTCTTACGCTGATTGCATCCTTGTTAACGGTTTGAGTCGCCATCTCGATGTTGTGGTGCTGCAAGTCTACGAGCGAAACGGAATGCTTGGCGGGGTAGCAACTTTCGACTCAAAAATCACAATGACGTTGAAGAGCAGAGAATGGGAGAAAATCTCTCTCCAAGCCAGCTGATCATCTTCTTATATATAGAAAAAAAAATCCTTCCATCCCCGCATTGCGAATCAGCCATATGACATTTTCCACGCGCGAACGAATTTCTTCCCAATCGATGCCCCACGATGGCTCATTGGAGAGACAATTGAGCCAAACGTGCTACGAGAAAAGCGTGTTTTTGCTCCAAGAGCCCAAAGGAACCCCGCGCCGGGCTACTCTGCTCTCCCTAGTACTTTGGCAGCGATTCCATGTTCCTGGGGCTTTGCCTGGTGACCCGAAAGCTTTCAAGGCACTATTTGCTCTGCTACCCACAATTATAAGAGGTCCAATGGCAATTTAGCCGGTGATAATAACCGCACCAATGGGAGAAGCCTTGGAGGAATATTGGAGATTTTGTGGATAGCGATTTCGGTGATGCGTTGAGGAAGACTTTGGTGTTGTCTTGTGAGAGTATCCATCGCAGATGGGGATCGAGAGTCCCTCAAGCGTTGAATGTTGACTTTTTTCGAGCAAGATGGCATAGGTCTCTTGAACTCATCAAGCGCGCCTATCGTATGATTCGTATGTTATTGTGCAGGGGATCAAGTCGATCAATAAGCCTTTGCCTGGACTGACGTTGTACGTTTACCCTGCAGCAAGCAAGATTTTATTTGTTTTCTGTGTGGAAAGAATGCCGTCTTGAAAATATCTTGAGTTTCGCCGGAATACGGATCTGATACTGGCCAAAGATTAGGGTATTTCTCTTGTTCCATTGCAACTTGAATAATTAATGGTAGTAGAGAATAAACTACCTACCTATGGATGAGAGGTATATATTCAACTGATGAGTTAATCGTCTATCTGAGTAACTTTCATATCGCACATAGAGGCCCGCCTTACTTCTCCAAATCTATTCATTACACCTTCGTTCATCTATAATTAGTAGTTCCACCCAGTTTCCAGATAGCTGATACTCTATCCGAGACTGCTGCCTGCTTGGGTTGACAGCACAGGCACCATCGGTCTGTTAGTCCTTTATATCGTCGAGTATTTTAACGTAAGGCTTTGATATCGGGCATTTGTATTCATCTGCTCCTCACCAATATTGAAAATGCACACATAGACTACGTGGCCGATCATATAGGACTGCAACCCTTCAGCACTCAACGAGGCATCCACTGCCTGAGACCAGAAAATCAGGCTCTACAACAGCCGGAATTTTCAACGTGAAAACCAATTCTGGACCTTGTTCATTTCGAGAGATTTACCGGTGCCGCCAGCATACATCTCAGTATGGTCAGCGCGTCAACTGGTATACTGCCGTCATCTCTAGGGAATTTCAGCCGACGAGAGACGCAAACTACAAATGGTTGTTCTCGGTATGTAATTGCAATATTCGACCACCCGTTTCGTGGAAGCCTAGTACTAGAGCCTAGACATGTCATGAGCTATGATCCATGTGAGCTATCGACGACATGTTAAACACTTACCGGAACCGTGTGATGCTCCAGGCACGGAGGTCGCATGAGTCCTGCGCAAGATACACACTGCCAGTAGAAGTTCACTTTTAAGGATAGGTCCTCAGGGGCAAGAGTGTCGCAAGTGAGAACAATTATGTGAGGAAAAGCTGGATCTTGGCTGGTTCCACCTTTGTAAAGAAGCGTGTAGGTTGCTTGAAAGCCGTGAAATGGATTCCTTGACCCTGCGCTGTCATCTCCCAGAGCACCGGTGCGTAATTACTTATGCCTGTAGCTGAGGTCTAGAGTCGGTTTTCCATTTTTGAAAAAAAAAAAAAAAAACAGATACCTTTCCTTAACTTCTGGCCACTTTTCTCCTTTATTGAGAAACTCTTGGGCATACTAGCTTGCCAATTTATCTCAAGTAGCAGTAAAAATCTCTTTTCAGCATCCAGCGAGTGATAGTCGTCAATATCGAAAGGGGCACCGCAGATTACCTTTGGTGTTTTCAGAAGTTCGTCGGATAATCGCGGAATATGTTCCAGTCTGTCTAACAAGTACTTTAATATGCTACACTGCTCGTATGTCCGGAGATGATAGCTGTGGGTCGGAATATGGTTGCAGAAAAGACTGGAAAATTCTCTGAAATGTGTTGGGTTGAGTATCCCATAGTCACTCGAGAGCTTTGTCTAGCTCATCAGTGCAGCGAAGAGAAGGCATGGCTTTAGAATAAGCACCAAGTAGATGATGGGCCGGCGACGGTGCTCAGCTGGCTTGACTGGTAATCAACGACGAGGAACCGGATGCAGTGCCTATAGTTCCTGGCAAGCGAGAGTAGCAGTGGGCTGACCGGTCAAGACATCTGCGTCGGATTGTTGGTAGGTGGTATCAAATTCAGGGACTGTTCCGATTGCATTTTCATCAAGGCACTGTGATTCACTGCAATGACGCAGATCAGTATGGAACAGGTCTTGTCAGCGTTCTGAGCGATACAGAGACTGCTGGAGAGGGACTCGGAGGGCCAATCGGTGCCCGTTCAGGACATTGAACACACCAGTATGTGTCTTGGCTTGTAATTTCTCAGTTTTCACACGCGTCCCTGTCGTGTGTTCATCTCCAGCTGCGATTTTGCAAATGATCGCCAGTGACATGCAAGACGTGTTGCAGGGGTTCAGGCGTCAAAGATGCAACTTCTCGGAGTCTGTCGTCGGATGCATCACGCAGCTCATAGCGGGGTAGTGCCGCGTATCATGGTAAATACTTTGCCAAGCACAAACTCTGCATGTCGATAAACGGCAGAAGACAGAAGAGGTAGAAGAGGGCAGAATCATATCCAAGCCTCACCCATAGCTGATGCTTGAAATCATGTCTCCCCCAATCTTAATACTCGTCTCCAACATGCCCTTCATCTGTTGCACCAGAGCCCATCTCATCTTGCTGGTGGCGCACTCGCATTAGCACCAGACTAGCTTTTCAAATCCCCACCTCGTCGAGAAAATTAAGCGCCTTTGCTGCCGCGGCCAACGGGCCTCCAGCCTATCAAGAACCCACTCCGATGCGACCAAGCGCGATGCTCTGGGTCGCTGCAACTGGCCTATGGCGCTCCTCCAGTGGCCGTCGCGCCCCAGCCCACCCCTGCGTTTCCAGCGCTTAAATCGAGCCAATGCAGTGTGATGCGGCCTCTTATTGGCCCGTGCCGAACGCAACGACCTTGTCCCGTCAAGATCAAGGTGCTATTTTCGGGCGCAAGATCACGAACTAGCTCTTTTGGCCCGGCCTGTTGGATGGCAGCTCCACCGCCTGTGTGCCTCTGGTGTGCCTCTGGTGCCTCTTGGTGTGCCTCTGCCTGTCTGCGCCGGCTGCTCTTCTCCCGCCGACTCGGCCAAGATGTCTGGCGACAGGCGCTTAGTCGACTGATTCGACGGCGGCGTCCTTCTGCTGGCTGGGCTGCTCGCCGATGTCCCCCGCAGGCGGATCGACCGAGAGCAGAGGATGGAGGGTTCATCTTTATTATATCTGGTCTCGTAGTGCCGGTCTGGTTTGCTCGTGCCCTTGCATAGTGCTTCTTCTGCCGTCTGTGCTCTTCTTGTTGTGTCTGCTCTGCTGGTATCACGATGCGACGCTCAACCAACAGACAATGAAGCGGTAGCCTCTTCTCAACGTCGGCCTCGCCCTTTAGATACCCCAGGCGTTTCGTTTCTTGTCCCTTTTTTCGTGTCTTTTGCTCTGTCTCAGTTCGATACCCATCGCCTCTTCCGTGAAGAAGGCAGTTCTTGAGTTCTGCGAGCTGTAAAGATACCTACGCCATTCTGGGTCTGAATCATGGCTTCGCAATCAGCCTCTGGCGGCGCCAGCTTCTCACTCTTCCCCAATCCCAACTTCTCCAAGCCTATGCCGCGTACCCAGACACCTCGATCCCGCCGTTCAGAATCCCGCGAACGTCGAGCAGTTACACCACAGCAGCAACTCCAGGACAGTCGTGCTGGAACACCGGGTGCTTCGTCTTCACCAGTGCTTGCTCCTGTATCATCGCCTCAAACCGGCCGGCAGACGCCGCAGCAGAGGGCCCATACCCCATTGGACATCAGTCATCCTTTGGAAGCAGTATCAGAGGCGGCTCTAGATCATCATAACCCTCCACCGACTGCCAACATAGACGAGCAACCAGTTGATCGCCCCCGACTGACCATCGAGGTTCCTCGGCAAGCAAATGCTTCCATCTTGCCACCTCAGGTACTGGCAAGCGGCAGCAGTAACCCGCCGCAGAATTATATCGCCAAGCCTCTTCTATTATTTGACCAGCCACCATCGTTTGCGCCGCCGCCAACAGCGCCGCCGGCAATGCGCTCCATGTTTCCAACATACAATCCTGAATTACCCCTTGATCAGCAAAACTACGGCCCAACCCAGATGAATCCATCTGGCATGCCTAGGGCTGTGGTCAGTCGCCAGAGCTACTTTGAAGATCCCGAGACTGCATCTGAGCGTCCACCTGTGCGCAGTCCGCCATTCAGAGTTCCTACTCGCCCTCAAAATCCTCCAATCATCCCTGCCATCAGCACTACCGAACAGCTTCAAGACCTGTGGAAAGTCACAAACGGCTGGCAAGCATCTGGTTCGGAAGGGCGTGTTTACTGCCTAAAGTTGACACAGCAAAAAGATGCTCCTGTCTACACTCTTTCCTCCGCCTCCCAGCCTTTTTATAGCCTCCGCTTGGACCCTACATCTGCTTCTGCCTACGTGTCACTGAGCAGACACGACCCCAGCAAGATTTACAAGGCTCCCAAAACAGCATCAGGCTCTCCCGCAAGCATTTTCAACGGTATTCGAAGCGGCAACAACCGAGCCTCAGACAACAAGCATTGGCAAGAAGCATTAACTACAACACTCGAAGAAGAATCGCGTAAACATTCCCCAAATGACGGTCTTGCTGCCCTTCTTATGCCCTGTGCCGCGACAAAGATAGTCTTGGATAGGGCAGACGACCCTGTCACAGTTGCAGCTGCAGAGAGGGAGTGTGGCAGACTTGTATGGGACGACGATAGTGCAAGCCACTATTTGGTACATCCTGCCCTGGCAACGCCATTCTGCGTTACCGTTGAAAACTGTGCCGCCTGGTCTCGTGTCGAATATACGCTGGAACACCACGAATCGCCACAGCATCTCGCCAAGCTCACGCGAGATGGCACCGGCACTGGGTGGCTCGAGATTGACACTGGTGTAGCGTCCAAAATCGAGTCATTCTACATTGTGGATGTGGCCGTTACCGCACTGCTTCTTGTGGCTGCCATGGAAGACAGGAACTCACCAAACACCGTCATCGACGCATTCGAGGCACCGCCAGTACCGGAACCTCCCAGGCAATCAAGGAGCTTGAGCAGTGCACTGAGCCGACACCGCGACGATGACGGCAGCAAAAAGAGTAAAAAAGACAAGAAAGACAAGAAGCGCCAGAGAATGGAGCAGTTCGAAATTGATATCGAAAGCCAGGACGATAGTTTAGGCAAGGGGAGCAAAAAGGCTGAAGCTGAAGATAAACTGCCCTTCCTAATACGAGCCATTGTCAAACTGGCAAAGGGGCTGTTCAACTGTTTTATATGGTTTCTTACAATTGGCTTTGCATGCGTTAAAGGAGTATTCAAGGTTTTTTATAAATGTGTGGGATCTAAATATTAATACGACGGCATCTGATGATTTAATGATGACAATGAGCTATCAAACTGATTTAATTTGGCGGATTTGTGATCACCTGTAGATGGCCCAGATTTACTGTTCAAGAGTGTGAAGATGATTTCTATATCCAAGCGTACTCAAAAACATTTATTTCATTTTGGTAATCAGTGATGAGAAGCTATACCTCATCCTCGTTGAAACGAAACACAAAAACCAAACATATTCCTTTTTAAACCCATGCTCTATAGGCTCCAATAGTCATGCCACCACCATGAACAGATACAAATATTCCAGCCCAAATATATTAACAGCGCTCATGATCAAAAAGCACTCTTCACCCTTGACCCCCACAAACCCTCACCATTTTTTTTTTTCCCTTTCTATCTCTTCCTCTGCCTCACCATAATCTTCTTCCCCCTCCTCGTCGTGCCGCCCGACGTCGCCGTCTTGGCCGTCTTGGCCTGCTGGACCTCGAGCTTGCTCTCGGCCGTCATTAGCGCCTTTACTTTTTTGCGCGAGTGCTCCAGCCTGCGCTTCAGCTCGCCGAGGTTTTCTGCCCTGTCGAATGCGTCGTTCTGGTCTTCCCTCTTCTCGGGCTTCTTGTCCTCGTCGATTTCTATGATTTCCTCTCGCTCGGCCTCGTCGTCTGCGAAGACGATTTTTCGGGGCGCGCTTGTCCGCCGTCTTTTTGAAGCACCTGAGTCGTAGTCGTCATAGTCATCATCGTCGTCTTCGTCGTCGTCTTCCTCAGCCAATTGATCCAGTCCTTTCATCAAGACAAACTGCTCTTCCAATCTCGCTAGTTCCTTCACGGCAACCTGCTTCATCGTCCTTACGTATCCCAAGTCCTGTGTCTTCAGCAGCCGCACCGTGTCCATGTCCAGGTCCTTGTTTCCGCGATCGCCCTCAACTCGGCCGTTCCAGGTCTTGCCAGTCTTGATTTTCGAGCCGGGGCCCTTGCGCGACATCATGCCAAAGTAGAATTCATCTTCGTTGCGGTCGGCAGCCCTTTCTCGGAGAGCCTTGAGCTGCTTCTTCTTCTGGTTGTAGTCCTTGGCACGTAGAGAGTAGTCCTACGATAGAAATACCGTTAGTAGCAAATCCCACAAAAAAAGGACTGTATAAGATTGATTCAAGGATCGAAGAGTCCGAATAATCGTTCTCGTACCTTGTGCTTCTCGAGAAGACCGAGGCGCTTGCGCTCGAGGGGCTGCGCACGCTCCTTGTGGTTGCGCCGCTGAATTGAATTTCGCAAAGACGACATTTTTGCGGTGGCTCTGGGCTGATGTTGAGAGAACGAAAAGAGCTCCTGGGTGTTATGGTTGTGAAGGCGTAGCTACGGTATCAAAGAAAGTTGGTTCTTGGGAGGTGGAAGAGCGGCAGAATTTTTGGGATTTTTGGCGGTGAGAGCGGACGTGGCTAGCGCTTCATCACACTTGGCGCTAACGAGTGCCTTGTGGAACAGCGGTAATTGTAAATGCAATACAACAAATTGACAAAAAATGCAAGTTCTAAAAGACCCAAAAATATTCAGTTTTTTTTTTTCCCGTTAATCCGTAATATTGAGGGAAATATATGTTGTCTATATTGGAGTATGATTGGGCATCTATTATACAAAATTTTGTGCAGCTACTATCATACAGCAGCCCACTTACACGATGGACTGGTTCATCAGCTGTCTAAATCAGCTATTTAAGCGCACCATCCCTAACAGTCCTGAGGTTTCTAACAGTGAAATGGCCTATATCTTCTTATGAAGATTTCGAGCCAAGTTGTAGGCCATATGGGGCAAGCTGCTCATTGCTGAGCTTGCTAGGTGACTGCACAAAGGGGTCTTCTCCCTTCATCGTCTTGGGAAAAGCAATGACATCTCGAACAGTTGGTGTGCCAGTCATCAGAGCAGCAAAACGATCAAATCCGAGCGCAAACCCAGCATGAGGAGGGCATCCTGAGCGGAGAGCCTCAAACAGGTGAGCAAAATCCTTGATCCTCTTATCGGTCATCTTCAAAACGTCTCGCATGATGAAATCTTGGACATCGGCAATGTGGTTACGCACGCTGCCTCCGCCAATTTCGACACCGTTGAGAACCAAGTCGTATGCAGCGCTCTTTGCTTCTAGCGGATCGGTGAAGAGCAATTCTAGATCTTTCTGAGAGAGGGGTGCTGTGAAGGGGTGGTGAGCAGCAGCAATTCCCGCCGCGCCCTCTTGGCCTGGCTCGCCCTCTTCAACCGGCTTGAACATGGGAAACTCTGTCACCCAAGCAAACTGGAGCGATCCTGGCTCGCCGAGTCGCGGTGTCTCCATATAACCTGCATCGATAAGTGACTTCCATAGCAGATTTCGGATGTCTCCAATCTTTGTTGAGCCAGAGTAGTATTGTCCGGCGGGCCTCTCGCGAGCCTGGAAAACAACAAGATCTCCGTCATTGAGGCCCTTGTTCTCTGAGAGCAGATCTAAAACGCGTTCGTATTCAAACCCTAGTGAAGAGAACCCGCACAGCGGTTTGCTGGAATCATAGACAAGAATTTGAGGTTTGCCGTCGGGATTTTTTCCTAGAGAAGCGGGGAGCTCGTCCATAAACTTGATCATAAACCTTTGCGCTTCCGAAGGAGAGCAATCATTCAGCGGCAATGCAAAAGCTTCTATAAGAGGATCGGACATGTGGGTTATCATGCTGACAAAGTGTTGGAAAGGGTCAAGATTGGGAAGGGCATGTATCTGCATGGCGTTAGCTTTATGGTTACATGAAATCGCCGGATATCCTTACCCTTAGAGGAATACGAAGATCTGGTTTGTCGGAGCCATAGGCAGCAATGCTATCTGCAAAGGTAATGTTTGTAAATTGGTGGGCAACAGGCTGGTCTGCAGGTGGAGGAGTGGCAGGTATATCGGCAACAACAGGGACCACTTCTCCTCGAATCTCCTTGTAGCTACGTGCTGGCTGCAGAGCAGTCAGAGCTGCCAGGACAATATCATTGATGTCCTTTTGCACCGTCTCAGCACCGGCGAAAGCCCATTCCATGTCAAGCTGGCCAAAGCAGTCAGCACCAGGCCTCATACTGTATTGGTATTCGTCTTACCTGTGAGAATTCTGGTTGTCGGTCGGCCCGAGAATCTTCATCGCGATAGCATCGTGCCCACTGCATATAGCGCATAATACCACTGGCCATAAGGACCTGTTTATACTGCTGTGGGCTTTGGCTTAAAGCGTAGGCAGTGCCTTTCTGTCGTGTAGGAACAAGAAATTCTCTGGCTCCTTCTGGCGTGGATTTGAACAAGGTTGGAGTCTCTATATCCGTAAAGCCCTTTTCAAGCAGGCTTTGATTGAGCATTCCTTTCAGCCATGACCTGAATTGGAGTCTGGCTTGCAATTCTGGGTGAAATCGAATCTGGAGATGCCTCTTTGTCGGAGGGAACTGGACTTCGGGTGTTACGATGAGATTCTTTGGGACGCTATTCAACGCACGTATGCTGTCGAGATAAACGGTCTTTTTTGATGAGCCGTCACTGATATTTGACTCGGCCACACCTGCGGCTTCATGTTGCTTTATGCGAATGAGAACGGGGCTGAAAGCGGGAACTTGGCGGAAATCATCATGAGCCTTGTCATCTCTTTCTGCACTGGAGCAGATCTGAATGACTTCGCCCGACGGCGTGGTGAGATCTGCGAATGAAAGATGCTTTGAGACATTACGGCTCTTGCCCAACAGCCCCACGTAGATGTCCTCTGAGTGAAGACCAAGTAACTCGTCATTAGCCTGGTCTGTTTGGTGTTAGATATTTTTCATAAAGAAAGAATCTAGCGTTGAGAATAGCCTACATTTACTCCAGAGATCTAACAAGCTGGCCCTCTGTGCTGAGCTTCCCGCCTCATCTTTGGCAGCTTGTGAGTAAAATCGGCTGTTTCTGTAAATCACCTGTCGAGGAACGGAAGCAAAGCTGCTGGCACAAGCACAACGCCGCAATGCCAGGCCGCGGGAACCAACAAGAGGCCCCATTGCCTAATATCAGGCTCGGATTATCATTCAATTACAAGACAATGAGCTGCGCACGGAAACATGGCATGGCTGATAAGATAAAAGATGAAGACGGGCCTTTGTCGAGAGATGCTCAATCACCCGATAAATTTCCGGGTGCCCCACGCTCCAGCGCCGAACCTTTAAATTTCTGCCGACGCTGGGGCTAAACTTTTTTCTTCTTCTTTTCTTCTCTATCCTTCCATTCAAATAAACGTACGCTCTCCCAAGATTTGCACACCTCTCCGACCTGAACCATTGCTAACTCGATATTTGCAGGTGATGAGACTCCGTGCCAAAATGATGCTGAGCCGCTTTCCTGACCTCTCAACACTCTTCCTTCGGGGCTTCAGGGTTTGGGGGTGATGGAGGGCTGGTTCCATGAAATAGGCGTTCGACACACCGACCTTGTTTTGCATCGAACGCGATGATAAAAAACTCTGACTTATGACGAATGGAAGGTTTTTCTTGATCAATTTTTTTCCTCTGTTAAAATTCACATACACCTTGTTTTTTTCTCTTTTCTCCCCTCATTGATCCTGCAGCTTCTCCTACCAACATGTATGCATTTTGCGGCTCGTGTACGATAGCGTTTTATATAATTAGTACGGGGTTCGTATAATAAAAACTGCGGAACTCGGTTCCTTAATTTGCTACTGAAAATCACGAATGTCTGTGCTCTATATAAAATTACCTCTCTTGGCAAATAGACGGGAAGTAATGACGATAAATGCGCCGCGGCATTGCATGCTTAGATAACTGTAGCGCCCCGGCTGCATCTACTGATAAAAGCTCCCGGCATGCCGCCAATTTATGCACATCGCGCCAAGCGTCAGGTTCCCCCAACTTGTCTTATCCATCAAAAAGTCAATTGCATCTGCCGTTAGCGAGTGACTTGCGCTCCTCGCCCAGCCACCGCCATTCCGCAGCTTCCGCCGCCCACGTGCAGCCTCGCCAGCGGTATCGCCATAACTTCAACCCCCAGCGCCTCACCTGCTAGTGCCCAGTAGCAAGTTAGCAACCGCCATCATCCTCCCACCAAACGAAACAAACCCGCGCCAGCTCCGCCCGGCTGCCGGTTCGGCTGAACTCCGTCCTGTCGCTGTCGCCCAACTTTCTTATCCATCGACCTGACGATTGTCGCGCAGGCCTGCGAGCCCGAAGAATCTCGAGTACCAGCCCCAGACGCAGTCCGCAGCCATGAGCTCTTTCGAGAAGTCCGTCAAGGGGGCGACCAAGATCAAGGTGAGGACGATTCCAGCGTTGGGCAGCAATGGTGATATCTGAGGCCATATGGGGCATCTGTCCATCTCGGGCTGCAGACTGGCAAGGCACGCCAGACCAACCAGATCGCTAACCGCTGCTCGTGTCTATGCAGAATGCGCCCCCCAAGACGAAGTATATCGAGCACATCCTGGTCGGCACTCACTCCGGCGAGGCTGGCATCGCCGAGGTCCTCCGCGCGCTCCAAAACCGACTGCACGACTCAACATGGACTGTCGTGTTCAAGAGCTTGATGACGGTCCATCTCATGATCCGTGAGGGGTCTCCCGAGGCTACGCTTGCTTATCTGTCCCGGCATCGTAACATGCTGGCCATTAGCAACTTTGCAGATGGTCCGTCCCTATCACAGCGATGAGAAGCTACATATGCAATGGCGGACTGACACTCTACATAGCCCAGACCCAAGGCCGGAACATCCGTCATTATGCGAATTACCTCATCGAGCGAGTGCGCGCGTATCGCGATACCAAGACTGACTGGGTCCGCGCCCCAGAATCGCGGCTGGAAAGACTCACGGTTGAGAAGGGGCTGCTGCGAGAGACAGAGGTGGTTCAACACCAGATAACAGCGCTGTTGAAATGCGACGTGCGTGACATGCCCAAGCCCTCTCTTTCCTTGAAGATGAATGCGGAGCTTACCCCTCCTATAGCTGCTCGACCAAGAACCGGAGACCGAGATCACGATTGCAGTATTTCGATTACTGGTCCTCGACCTCTTGCCTCTGTTCCAAGTCTTGAACCAGGGCCTCATCAACATTCTTGGTTAGCTATAAGACGCCCCCGTATTTTTATCCACCACGGCTGTTCTAACATCAGCATAGGTCACTTTTTTGAGATGTCTAAGCCGGATGCCGATAGAGCTATGGAAATCTACCGGACCTTCACCAAACATACCGATTATGTCGTCCAATATCTCAGCACCGCCAAGCAATGGCAACACCACACTCGAGTGGAAGTCCCCAAGCTAAAGCATGCGCCCGTCAACTTGGGCCGCCAGCTCGAGGAATATCTCAACGATCCTGATTTTGAGATTCACCGGAGACAGTACTTGGCGGAACAGGAGGCCAAGAAGGGAGGCAAAACACTAAAGTCCAAGTCCACCAAGAACGGAGTCGACTTCCCCAAGGCGTCTTCTCCTGCGGCCAATAACCCTTTCCCTTCTCCCGGCAACGCCAAGGCCCAGTCGAAGCCTCAAGCAAACAAGGGACCGGATCCTGATCTCATCGACTTCTTTGACTCGATTGAGCAGAACCAGATCCCGATGCAAGTCACCGCCGCCGCCCAACAGCCTCCTATTCAAATGCCTATACAAACCCAGGGACCAGACTTGGGCTTCCAGGGGCAGCCTGTTGGCTTAGGATTCCAACAAAACAGTTTTGTGCAGCAGCCTACAGGATTTGCCCAGGGCAATGCTTTCCCGCAACAAGATAATGGGTTTATGCAGCCTCCTGCACAGCTGCAGCCGACTATCACCGGCTTCAGTGGCTTTGGACAAGATTTCCAGCCCAATGCTCTAGGTCCCATTCCCCAACAAGCGGCCCCCAATTTCCAGGTTCCTGTTCAACAACCTGTCGGTCTTCAGCCTACTGGACTTCAGCCATCGCTCGCTGCTCCGCAGATGAATAACCCTTTCCGTCAGTCTATGCTAGTAGCGCAGCCAACGTCTTCATCTCAGCTGTCAACTCCAACGTCGAGCACGCCAACTCTCAACCGCCAATCTACGAATCCCTTTGCTCGGTCGACGAACTCTCCAGGCCAAAACACAAGTCCTTTCCAGGCTCAGCCCATGCAGCCCCAGCCCACGAGCACCAACCCCTTTGCTCGCAACGTTCCCGCCGAGACGCCGGTGCAGCAGCAGCAGCAGTTCCCGGACCAGCAGCAACAGTCTTCATCGCTTGCTCCACAGGCAACTGGCGTTACCAATCCGTTCCGCCAGGGCGCTTTTGTGAACCACGCAACTGGCATGGGCTGGCAGCATAATGCGAGTCCCATTGGTGGTGGTATTGACCATATTCAAACCGTGCCAGTGTTCCCCCGCCCTGCGCAGCAGACGCCTTGGCAGCAATGAGCTAGGACTGAGATATACTCTAATTTCTGTTACTGCTCTTTTTTCTTTTTTGAATCATGTAAGCTCTTGCGATCTGGGAGTCTGGATTTCGTCATTCTTTTTCATCGCTTTTCCTTATCATGGGTCATTGTTTGCTAGGGTTTTGCACCTTTTTTACTCCAACATCGCATTATCCAGCGAGGCGTTTATTGGTTTTTATTTCTTTTTTCTGTTATATTCAATAGGGAGAGGAGGCAAGCCTGTGGATTATTATTATTCTTATTAGTCAGTATTCTCGAGAAATCATGGTTCTTTAGTATGCAGATTCACACAGCTTATTAGGATGAACAAACTTTATTTGAAGGCAAAGATGATATGGAAAGGCCTGGGCAACTTTGGGACGAGCGAGATGGGTAGGTGGACGGGTAGTTTTTTTGCGCGCGGTAGGGCAGGGTTTTTCTTTTGGCAATACTGATGCAAAGAGTATGGTTCACAAACATTCTTGTTTTTTAATTAAACTCTTTATGTATTCTCTAGCCTAATATTAACATGTCTGGTATTCATCATGAAGTAGAAAGAGAAAAGTATGAAAGACACCAGTCTTTAGACGCCGGCCTCCCTGAAAAACATTTCCATCAAGATCGGGTATTGCTTATATATGTTGTCCGATATGGTTTCCTCCCTAAAAGACGCCTGGAAAATGCAATTAGAAAACACGGATGTACCCTAAGAAGATACCAAAGGCTTCAAAAACATCAGATAACTGAGAGTCCCCTCAGAATATATCATCCACGTCCATCTTCCCACCAACCGACACCGCCGCAGCAGCCTCCAAAGAAGCCGCCACCGTCGCATCTTCTCGGGTATCTTTATCATCCTCAATGAAGACTCCCAAGCCAGAAAAGGCTTCAAACAGGGCTCTCGTGAGGTACTCGTCCGAACTGTATCCGCCCACAATGTAATCTTCCTTTACGCGCGTAATGTCGAGCCACTCGCTCTTGTACTGCGGCAAATTCTCGCTGGCCAAATCAACTCTCTGCGGCGCCAGATCCAGGCCGCCAAACGGATCGTACGGCTTGTCGTCCGCCACAGGGGCTCGCTTGTCTCTCAGGCCGCGAATCGACAGGCCGCTGCCTCCCAGCGCGGCAACAGCATCCAGCGTGGCGTCGCGCTTCTGCTGTCCTCGCTTCTTGAGCAGCACCTTGTCGACGGCTTCCGCGGCATGTCCGAGCTCTGCGTTCTGCAGGGAATTGAGCATCTCTTCGCGGAACCGCGCAGCGTTGGCCTTCTCCTCGGCGTCCTCTTGCAGTTCTTGTCTGCGGCGCTGGCGAGCGGCTTCTTGCTCCGCGGCGAGGCGCTTCTGCCGTGACTCGTCGGATTCGCGGGCGAGTTTGCGGTTGCGTTCGATTTCGGCCTTGTGCTGGGCCTCCCACTCGGCGAGCTGGACCTCTGCTTTTTTCCTCGCCTCGTCGCTTCCGTTGACGAGGTCGCCTGTGAGGCATTCCACCATGTAGAGATAGTCGTTGTACGCGTCCAGGCTTTCAAAGTCGTCCTCAGCCTTGTTGAACACCGCCGCCACCCTCCTCCTGATATCCACCTCCCGCTCGACGCCCAAGTCGCCGAAGAAGGCAGTCTTGAAGCCCCTCAGCCGCAGCGTCTTGTGGCAGCCCGCATAGGGGCACTGGTTGGGGCCGTCCTTGAAGATGCGCTCGACGCACGTCTTGCACATGCGGTGGTAGCACTCGGTGTTGATGCGGAACTCCATGTCCTTGTTGAAGTAGCGGGTGGTTTTGCACACGGGACAGGCTTCGTCGTTGTCGACGGGCGGCAGGGGCGCGGAGATGAAGGCGGCGGAGGAGTTGTTGGAGGCGTGGCGCATCGAGACGGTGCTGGTGCCGCCTGGCCGAGACATTGTGCTGAAGATTGGAGGCGGATTGGGACTGTGAGGTTGTCGATGAATGGAGAGAGATTGATCTGGAGATTTGGAGATGAGAGCGAGCTCTGGAGCCGATTCGACCCCAGCGGCGATGGCGTTCGTCAAGCACAATCAGTCGAATGATGTCTTTTCCACAACTGCTGTGTTTATGACCTGAAGCAGTTACAATGATTAGATAACAATTGAATTCGGCAATGGCTCGACTCGTGATATGTAAGAGACAGAGACCATGATTCCATCTAGGCGGCTGACTTATCCATCTTAGCTGACCAAAGCCAGCGGATAGCTTTCCGCCCTTGCATCGCCGCCAAAAGCTCAGGGCGCGCTGCTAAACGTCAGAAGCCCGGCACGCCATTGGCTGCTTGTCTTCAGCCCGCCCAACGGACCACTGAGCCTCTCTGTTTTAGCGCATTTGCCCCTCCAACGCTTAGTTGAACTTCCACCCGCGTCCATGGTCTGCCATGCGTTGGGTCCATTACCTAGAAGAGCTTCAACACCAAGAAAACTTGCAAGTTACACAACAAGCAGTTTTTAGCCATGGCTGATAAAGGTATAGATACTATGATGCCCCTTCTGCTACTAGCATGAGCTGCGCTGCAGCTTCTTCTGTATCCTTTCCGTCTTGTGACGACGAAATAGCTAATCCAGCTGTCTCAATACTCCAGATCCCTCCCCCGCCGAAGACGCTGCCGCGCGCAAGAAGGAGGCCGAGGAGCAGGCTGCGCTGCCTTACAAATGGAGCCAGACCATCGGCGAGCTGGACCTCTCCTTCAACGTGCCCGGAAACTACAAATCAAGAGATCTCGTCGTCGATATCAAGAAGTTGTCCATTGTTGCGGGTGCCAAGGGACAAGAGCCCATCATCAAGGTACACGGCATTTCCTTTGTCTATAACCCTGACATGCGCCATTGTTTCTAGCCTTCATGCCATGCTTCTGTGTTTCTCTTCTTCCTTTTGTCTACTTCAGCAAGACTTGGCCACGTTATCTATATATGTATGTACATTTACTCATATCGAACGTCACTAATAGGGCGACCTCCCCCACGCGATCCGCGTTGACGATTCGACTTGGACCCTATCCACCAACTCCGACGGCACCAAGATTGTCGAGATCCACCTTGACAAGGTCAACAAGATGGAATGGTGGCCGCACGTCGTCACCAGCGCGCCCACCATCGATGTCACCAAGATCCAGCCCGAGAACTCAAAGCTCTCTGACCTCGACGGCGAGACTAGGGGTATGGTTGAGAAGATGATGTTCGACCAGCGACAGAAGGAACAAGGCCTGCCCTCGTCAGACGAGCAGAAGAAAATGGATATCCTCAAGAAGTTCCAGGAACAGCACCCGGAGATGGATTTTAGCAAGGCCAAGATCCAGTAAAAATAAATAAATAAACACAAAGGGAGGGTATTGTATAAAAAGGGGGGAAAGATGAAATAATAATGAATAAATGATTGCATAAAAATAATGGGGGTATCATCGTGATTCAAGTGCCATGGCAGCCCGCTCTAAGAATGAGTTAAAGTCTCTGACCTGTCTGAGAATCCCGCCTGTGAAGCTGGACGAGCTAGCCTGCTCCGATACGCGAGTCACAAGCAGCTCGAGATTGGCCAGCTCGGCCTCCTTTTGTGCTGCGCGCGAAAGCTCCGGTGCCTCCCTGCCCTGCTCTACCGCAAGTTCTACATCATGCATAAGAGAGGATGCATCAAGACAATACTATAATGCGTATTTTTGTTAGCATATATGTTAGCCTTGCAGAAGACTTTGCCTATTCTTACCTTTGATTCTCTAGTATCGGCTTCATGCTTGATTCTGATAGCATCCATCCGGAGAGCAACCTGCTCTCTCTCAGCTTTGATACGCATAATGTCCTCGCGCAGAGCCATCTTCTCCTTTTGGACATGCCTAAGCCGCTTGCGCAAGGAGTGCCAGTGATTCAAGTGGATGGCCTAAAACACATTTTCGTCAGTACTGATTCAAATAATTTCAACAAATCGCAGTCATTAGACATACATGCTGAAGGAACCGAGATTTGAGCTCTTCTCTGTAAGCCTCTATAGCTCGCGTCTTGATGCGATACTCCTTCTTTTTCGCCAAATCTTCCGCACTCGCAGACACCTCTTGAAGCTGCTCCAAGGTCGTCGAGATCACCTCGTCGCAAACCTGAGCGAATACGTCGATAACGCTTTCTCCTCCGTGGTTCATAAACGCCGTCTCGTTCTGTAGCGGATCCAGATCGTCATCCTCGTTGCTGCGCTTCTTAAGGTTGACGAAACGCTGGACCGTGATTTCAATCATCCCACCGTCGCCTTCGCTCTGGTCGCTATGTCTTTTCTTTGTTCTTGCCTTTTTGGGCCGGGGCCGAGGCTCTTCGTTCTCATTGGCATATTCTGGTTGTGCTTGGACTCGCTTCCTTGTTTTAACGGGTTTTGGTTTAATAGTAGGTTGCTTCTGGATAGTCGGGCTCTTGCTGGGGCGCCCACGCTTTCGTTTGGGAGGAGTTGGTAATACGGTTTCTTCAACTTCAGCTTCGTCCTCGGTTTCTTCCCCTCTTTCCAGCTCAGGATCAGACTCCGGTTCAGGTTCTGGTTCTTGCTGTATTTCCGACTCTGGTTCGGTCTCCGATTCTTCCTGTATGTCCTCCAATGGCTGTGAGCCCAATTCTGGAGACGGTTCTCGTGGTCTCCTTGTTTGTTTTGTCCTTTGAGGTTTCGGCGTTTCTTCTTCATCAGATTCCTCGGCGTTCTCCTGTTCCTGTCCCTGATCATCTTCCTCCTCCTCCCCCTCTTCCTCTTGTAACGTTGTGCTTTCTTCAATGACCAAATTAGAAGCCTCCATCAACTCATCTTCTTCGATTTCAGCTTGTTGGGGAAAGCCGTCAGAAGACAGCTCATCAGCTAGGTTGCTCGCTTCTTGGCCATATACTGTCGCAGCCGATCTCCTTGATGAGGCTGCGTCGCTACGGCGCAGCTTATTCACGAGAGGAGATGAAGGCATGGGGATCCCATCATCCGAAGATATCACACCCATCAGCTTAATGCTAGAACTCATAGTCTCGCTAACGGGCACGCGCCGCCGCTTTCCGCTTCCTGGCGCATCTGCAGGAGACTCTGCTACTTCTTCGATCGTCTTCTCGGATCTGCGCGCCGAAGGCGATTGCAACAGCGCAGCCGATATGGCACCGGGGTGTGGCGGCAGATTTTCGAGCTCATCCTCGTCTTCTTCTATAATCATAGGAATGGTTGATCTTGCTGAGCTAGAGGGTTGTGTTATTCGGATTCTGCGAGCTCTAGGCGTAGGTTCATCCTCGTCCATCTCATCGGGATCCAGCACTGGTTCGCTTGGCGCATCTGGGAGTTCACTCGACGGGTTTGTAGGTAGCTGACGTCGGACTCTCCGTCGTGTAGGGGTAGGGCTTGGCGCTTGCTCCGGAGAAGTTGTGGCGATTGCATTTTTGCCCAATTTCCTTCTTTTTGCCGAGGTAGTAGGGGAGTATTTAGCATTGGCGGCGGGACTAGAGGCTGATGCGACTGATGATGCAATGGCAAGGCCGGATATGTTGAGGCTGTTGATGTCGAGACTGAAAGATTCGTCGTCCACGTTGGCGCGCCTGTGAAGAAATAAGCAACTTCCCCAGCATACCTAAATTTGTCATGAAGCTTACTGAGCACCGCGAAGACGCTCATTCAGGCGATCCGCTCGGTTTTGTCGTCCTGCGGTTGTGTTAGAATCGGCTTCGAGATGGCACAAAGAAGCATTTTTTGAGAGCGACATGCCTGTAGCCATGGTAAAGGCAAGAGTGCAATTGCACTAGATAGCTTCTACATGTGGAATCTGGGAGGCGTTGGTCAAGATAGTATTCTGTTCTTGAGCGAATATAATAAATGTAGTAGTAGCTTGTGATTATCGTGGAAAGTCAAAAGTTGCGACACTCGCCAATGCAAATCTGAGAGGTACCGAGTCGAAGTGCCGAAAACGGACTAGGGCGGCAGCTTGGACGCGACTGCTTCGAGACACGCGTTGATGGGCTCTGTCTGGATGGTGGGGTTCGGGCATTTCGTAGGAGGTTACAGCAGCATATCGCTTATAAGAAAAAGTGGTGAGTGTTGGAATTATTCTGTTTCGTCGCCTTGAACAACGGTGAAATGATATTATTAATGCATACTTGTTAATGCATATATACGTCCTATCCTTTGAAGATCCGACATTCCCTTGTAGCTTCCCGGGTGTATGCCAGACCCGCCGTCCATATGCCGTCGACTTATACAGGCTGACAACGTCCTAAACGTCAAACCATCAAACCGTTCCTATGATACACATGCCAATAAAAAGAAAACGTCAACGCCAACACTCATGCAATTCGTTATAGCAACTACAAATCCTTCTGTGCCTCCGCCTCCTCCTCGGCCGGTGGCTTCTCAATGGCAACCCATTTCATTGCTTCATCGTCGAAACGATGGCTATAGAATTTATCAGCTATGCCACCATGGGAAAGGAGAACTAGACTTTAGACTTACTCGTGAAATTCTGTCTTTGACAAAGCCTTCTTCCCGTATTCAGCCTGCAACATGTCCTGATAACGATAAGGGATCTTGCAAGGCACTCCCTCAAAAGTCGTGTCTCGTAGAGGAAAGACGTATGTATCCTGCGATGTATTAGCCATATGTGAATCACAAGAATTCATCCCGCGTGTAGCAATGTGTCGTACCCGATACTCATGGCCATATTTGTCGTATAAAACGCCCTCTCCTTCTTCATGATCCAAGTTATATCTCGCTGCAGTAATGTCGATGTATAGTCCATTCTGCATATCAATCCATCGGCCATCAATGACATTAAGGGTGTCGTCTTGTTCTCGGTGCTTAAAGTATGGGTTGATCTCAAGCTGGAAGTAGCGGCCCTTCTCCATGTCGCCGTACTTATAATAGTAAGTAGTCATGTTGTGATAAGCAGCAAGAAAGTACATGTCTGCCTCTGTGACTTGAACATCCGCATCATAGTCCCATGGCATAACCTTGAAAGTGGGAATTAGTTTGTTGATCAAAACGGTTAACAAAACAACGAGTAGAACATCAGTAAAAATTACCTTCTTCCCCCACCACCACCCGAGAAGAGTGCCATGCATCAGCCATGTCTGAACACCCAAATCTCTGAACGTTGCCAGATACGTCTGCACCAGGACCTTGATGGCCTCTCTCTGCTCGGGGTCTTCGAGCAGTCCGTGGGCGAACCGAGCATCATAGTGGACATCGTAGCTACCAAGGATGTGTTAGGCCTACATTGGACTCGAAGAAAAAAAAATGATAGCGCTGGCTGCAAAGTCTTGATCAAGACACTCACGAAGCTTCGTCTATAAGAGGCTCTTGTTAGCATGTACACCACGCATGCTGAGAATACAGCGGCAGCCGCGTAAGCACACATCAAATCCACTCACAGAAGTATTTGGGTACGGTAACCTTGCTGGGCTCTCCAAAAGGAGCAGCACTAATGGGCCATGCTAACGCTGCCCATGTGGCTGTGGAAACAGCACGCTTGAGGCTGATCGTCCAGGGCTTCATCTGGAGCGGATTTTGAGAATCGTCAGTAGAGGCCGGCCTCTCTTGTCTTCTCCAGAATCCCTTTACTTTTTCTCGACCGGCTACTAGCAGCTCTATAGAGCCCAAGTAGTCTTCTCATTGATCAATAAATACAGCCCTGGAGTGGAACTGGTGCTTTTTCCGCGCCGGCAAATCGATGCCGAGAAGGGGGACTAGGATGCGGCCCTCGGGAGCGTAGATTATGCGGCGGTAGGCCAAGTTGCATGGGCTGGACGCGCGTATGGACCCTATTTTGGTATCCTCAGAAGGCTGGAGATGCGGTTCCAAGGCCGTATCGGTGAGGGAGGCGTCATGCCCGTTGCTTCTGACTTGCTGCTTTTGCTCAGGAGAAACCGGAGATCGACGTGATTTCACCCTTTGATGTGCTGAAAATTTCCATGTACCACGACGGGTACGTGCACTTGTTGTAGTGACATCAGGGGACGCTGGCTTGGAATTCGAGCCTGGAGCGTCTGAAAACGGGGCTTTAGAAGGCTATTGAGCTATAACCTGTTGCGCTAGCGAGCATCTACCGGCTCTGATTTACACTATTGCCCCATTGCAATCACTCGAAATTGAACGGTTTGCCAGTAACGGTAACAGCCAATGAGGCGTGTGTTGATCAACGATGTTTTCCCAGATTGGTACCTGCCTTTAGCAGCAGCAGCTTTGCGGGGGATTCAGACGATCAAAGATTCGCTCCAAGAGGCACGTGCGCTGTTGTTTCATGTTCTCTTTCATACAGATGCGTCCGAGCACAGCAGCTTTGGGTGTCAGGAAATCATGAAGCGCACCGAGCAAAGAGAGAGGCACGTTCTGAAACGTGAAACGCACACGCAAGCACACATATTGCTGCATATCACCTTGCGTAATGTGTGTGCTCCGTGTCCCCAACAATTCTTGGATAAAGGCTACATCAATGCGGACTGTAGGTACCTAGGTAGGTAGTCTGCAAGATTATAGATGTAACTCAAATATCACCCGTTTCTACGCAGTTTATAGTTTTCACCCCAGCCTCTTTAAGTTTTCCTTTCAAAAGGAGATGAAGGCTTCAGTGCGGAAAATAATCCGGAAATGGCTGTAGTAAAATAGCGCCTCAAAACTATGCGGTCTCCCTTTTCTTAGTAAGATGCGTAGTGTATTGATGCGTCTAACAAGGCATCGTCACTAAAGTGGGGGCGTACCGTGCTTCCAGCGTACCGTGCTTCCAGCGTGGCCTGGGCCTGGGTCTGACGCAAGCTCGGCCTCAGCTCCACGTCTACAGCTTCATCGTATTCAACCCTGAACAACAACAACAACAAGAGCGCTCTATTCGCGATCGCTGCGATCGTCCGACTGGCTTCGATGCCTGTGCTCTCATAACATCTATTGCTTCATTTCTTTTTCTTCCTTTGCTTATACCGCCACTTTCTGGCCATTCGATTCTAGAGCAGCGGCAAGGCTTGAGCTGCCGCGAGCCCGCATCATGGGGGCCTGGAATGTACGATGGGATCCCGATCCTCGTCTTGAATGAAATATCACGAGAAGCAAGCTAATTTTGCGACCTAGATCTTCCGCATCTTGGGCGACTGCCTACATATGCTCTCCAAGGGCATCCTCATCTTCTCCATCCATCGAAACCGTAGCGCCGAAGGAGTCTCCCTCATCACACAAGGGCTCTACGCCATCGTCTTCTGCTCGCGATACCTCGATTTGTTCTCAGAGCGCTCGGCATGGAACGCTATATTCAAAGTCACATATATTGTCACGTCCTTCTACATCTTGGGTGTTATGCAATGGCTGTTCCCTCGGTCTCGAGAACGTGAGATCTCCTGGAAGCTGGGAGCTATTATTCTTGGAGGCTGTCTTGCTTTGTCTCCCTTTATCATGATGATCTTTGAAAGCAAGAGGAGATGGGGATTCCTGACTGTAGGTCTAAGCGCAATCAAGATGAGGAAGAGAGTGTTCATGCTAATCGTCATTACAGTGGATGTGGGTTTTCTCTGAAATCCTCGAATCCGTCTGCGTTCTGCCCCAGCTGCTGCTGTTGAGACAGACCACGGTTCCCACCGTCATCGATTCGTTCTACCTCCTGGCACTGGGCTCCTACCGGGCCATGTACTGCGTGAACTGGTTCGTGCGAGAAATGGACGTAAACGACCGCCCGCCCGATGCTATTGCCGTCATTTTCGGCATCATTCAGACTGCTTTATACATCGACTTTGCTTGGGTCTACTACACCAGACAGCGGGTTAAGCTCCGTGGCGGCGGTGTAGTTGACGCCGATGATTTGAACCGCGGATGGTTCCTGTACCGCATCTTTGGCAAGCACGCTGCGCCCAACGACGAAGAAGCCGGCCACGGCGACGCGGGCGGCGGCCGGGCGAGATGGGGATCCCGTGGCATCTCAGTCAGTGCCGACGATGGCGTATTGGAGTCGGAGAGGGACAATCGCGACCATCACGAGGGGCTCGATGCCGCGGTGGATCCTGATGCCAGGATGCATGATCCCGACGAGCTGGCCAAGGCCATGGATGACGACGACGATGATGACGAGGATACGCCACTGCGTGCTGGGAGCTCATCTCAGACGCACACACCACCAGGAATCCGAAGCGGGGATGAATGGGCCGATTAAATAGGTCCATCTGCTTTCTTGGATACCGTATCTCTTTAAGAGCAGCAGTATAGGACCACAGTCACAATATCAACACTGTAGTCTACGGGATGGATAACATACAACCTTTTTGTATTTGTTCTACGCAAAATGTGTTTTTGGGTACTCCCCTTTTTTTGCTTCAGTTGGGTTTGGTTATATGTATGGGAATCAAGGAGTAGTGAGAGGAAATCCATGGCCGGAAGAAGGTTGCTATATCTGAAATACGTACTCTAGTGGCTTGAATGTAACACACTTTATGACCAAAAGGCCTTAACGCTTCTACAGCAAGAACGACTTTGAGCCGCGGACCGTGGGTTTATGTTACTAGCCGAAAAGAGATCCCCAAGGAATATGAACCCTCGGCTTCATGGCAGTGGAGTCGCGGGACTCGTCCCGAGAGTGCGGAGAAGCTGCACGCATTTCAGACTTAGCATTTCACTAGCAGCAGGCATGTGAACGTCAGATCACCTTTTCCAACAGCAAAATGTCACATTGCGCGGTAGAAAAGCACTCGCGCGAAAGTTGAATTCGCCGGGGACTTTTCGTCACCCCATATGTACACAATGTTCAATACATGAGAAAGCCCCCCCTCCCTTTTTCCTGAGAGACAAACAAAACCCCGAGAAGACCGATGCCCTCGAATTCAGCTCAAAAGTAGTCTGAACCAAGAGACGTGATTTTCCAACTACCGGACATAACGCCTAGCAATACCCAAGTAAAATAAGACATGAAACGTAACAGTCGCCAAATATAAGCAATAATGCCAAACCGAGAAGCTTGAAAAGGCTGCTGAATAATAATAAAAAAAATAGTAAAACATAGTTCAAAGGGTCCTCCTCTTTAAAGATTAAGCCATTAATGAGCGAAACGGCGCTCAAAGGCTTCGTAGAGCTTGGGGCTGATCTCATCGCTGCTCATGCCCTCGACCTCGAGCAAGACGCCCTTCTTGGCGTAGTGGTTGAGCAGCGGCTCGCTGTTCTCCTGGAACTTCTGGAAGCGTGCGCGGTACGTCTCCTCGTTGTCGTCCGGGCGCTGGGTGAGGGGCTCTCCGGTGACGTCGTCGCGGCCAGGAACGCGGGGCCTATTGAAGGATGTGTTGTACACGCGGCCGGAAGGCTCGTGCACCCAGCGGCCGGCGATGCGCTCGAGAATGACGGAGAACGGGGTCTGGATGGACACGACCAGGTTCATGGGGACGATCTTGTCGAGCGTGACGGCCTGGGGGACGGTTCGGGGATAGCCATCCAGCATGAAGGACGCAGAAGGATCCTCGGAAGCCTGTGGAACGGCGTGCTCATCGAGATGGAAAGACATTGGGTTGAAATGATCCATGGAAGAAGAGGCGCTGTAGGAGCCCTCGGTGGAGGTTGCTTCAGCGGAGAGTGTCATGACCGGAGGGCGGCCTCCGTAAAGCCAGCCTCGGGATCGAAGCTCTCCTGAGATGAGACGAAGCATCAAGTCGTCAGCGACCAGGCCTCCGGCTTTGATGGTGTTTTCAGCCATGATACCTGAGGGGAAATGGTTAGCTACCAGCAGTATTCGGATAGAAAATAGAAGACCTACCGAGAGGCGTCCTGTTCTTGACATTGTGGCGGAGAAGGTCGCCCGTGCTGATGGCCTTGAGCTGAGGGAAGCGCTTCAACAGCCTGTCGCTCTGCGTCCCCTTGCCCACACCGGGCGCGCCAAATAGAATTACTCGAGCTGCTCTCCGGAGTTGCATTTCTAGGAGATTAATGCCGATTTATTGTGCCTACGTTGAGACGAAATTGGATCCGACGCCGCGGATATGGTTTTAGAGGTCGAGGAATCAAAATCAGTTATGGTGTTGCCTGCGTAAGCAACTCCGAAGACGGCCTGACCAAGGCAAAAGGGTAAAAACAGGGAAAAATTCTTTACGTAGAAGAGCAAAAGTTGAACAGACTCAGAGCCTTGAAGCAAGACGAATGGATGTAAAACAAGCTGCCTACCACGGACAAGGAATGAAAAGGATATTAGATGTATATATATAAGACTGGTGACAAAGCAGAGAGCAAAACGGGGGATGGAAATGGAGTGAGCGCGAGGGAAGGACGTGTTAATAATGTTGAGTGTGTTGTTCGATAAAGACCCGGTCCTGCCATGGCGGGACGGGCGGGGGTCCAGCAGCATGTGGGAACCGAAGAAGCGCCGCACGGTGGCTGGCGGCGCTGTAGAGGCCGCGACGGACAGTGCGGAGACGCTCTACGGCACTTTGTGGGCAGCCAACAGATGGTGGGATGAATTGCTAGCAATCCAGGTAGGTATCGCAGAAAGTGGACAATCAGCCCAGCCTTGGCTGAGAGCCACAGAGCTTAGCTCCAAACTCCGGACGGGGACGCACGAGCAATGTGCCCTGCAACAGCGCCGAAAGCGAACCCGCTGACGGGGCTCGGAGGCTTTTTTTTCTCGCCCTGGACCTTGCAACGACTGAACGCGGTAACAGCACGCGGCGGGGAAACCAGGCGCTGCCGCAACGTGCGCTGATGGGGAGGGGGGGTCCCCGGGCAGTGGGCGCTACCAGCTGCTAATAGCCGGCGTCTGCCTGTTCTCGATGCGCCGATTCTTGGGCCAGCGGTCGGCTCAACAAAGCTTCAATGGGGCGGCTCTCGCCCGGGTCGCAAATCAACCGCCAGTTGTAGTACCTTGGTATTATATTTGTGCGACGAAACTTCCGTCACGTCATTTTATCCGCAGGGACAATTTGATTCGAAAGCAGTAATTATCAGAGAGACGCTGTTCTACTAAGCTGTGCGGACAATTCGGTCCGCGGCGGTCCGAGCCCAAAAGGGAAAAAAATTCCATTGAGTCTGTTGTACGATGTACGGAGTAGAGGATGTGATGCTTGTGAGATCCCACTTCTTTAGTCGGTGGTATAAAGACGATGAGGGTGCCCGTGCTTTCTGTTCGTCGGCATGATTATTTCGTTTATGGCAATAGACTGAGTCTATGAATTCGGGAGAAAAATGGGCCTTTGCTGCTAAACATTGGAGTCTTTGCAGCGTGGCAATTGGCCGGTTCATTTCTCGTCTGGGGACAGTCGTGTTTCACTTTTGGGCTCCGGCGATGAGTCGGGCCACGATGGCAGCATTTTACCGAGCAATCTCCAGCAAAGAACGAGAGATGCCCGACATCATTCTCAGGCATACGAGCTGCATGCGCTGTGGAGGATTGGGAACAGCAACCAGGAGCATTAATAGGTGTCAAATGTGCCCTATTGCCCCTTGCTGCAGATGGAAATTCAGGCCATGGCTTGATCTGAACTCTTCATGTTACTGCCGCGCAACACCCTGATCCCCTTTGCTTGCCACTTCATCTCCAACCATGGAATACTATTCCATCAATTCCATTGCTTCCCACTCTCGCACAGAATACATGTACATTGCCCGAGACGGTACATGTTCATGTACTCCAGACAAAGCAGGCAAGGAAGCCCAACTTGGTCTGGGGAATAAGCCAGAGCCACAGACAGCCCGATCATGAGTGTCGTGCATATCTCCCCACGGATGACAGCGTCTGCCAACGGCTATCAGCATCTGCTATTCGTAGACCTGTATCCGTAGAACGCTGCATGATAGTAGCACAGACAGCGCCCTCACGCTCTCCATCTCCACGACTGACAACAAGCAAACACACTGCATCTCTTGCCAGCAAAGCATACTTTACACATTACACTTTTTCCATTCCCCAAAGTCCGGCATGTCCGAGGCCGACACGCAAATCAGCGCTCTGGCATTATGTAATCAGGCCGTAACTCTCTGCAAGCCCGTCTCGCTCAGGCACTCAGGAGATATTACGTCACGTGATCTCGTCTGCCAGATGGCTTCAGCCCAACGGCTCCACCAAATCTGCCGCTGGAAACTCTGATCCAGCCTATGGCATGCCAGCGCGCGGCTTCTGACGTGTGGCGCACCAAACTCAGACTGGATTGTACTCTTGTAGACCCTGGCCTAGATCCGTTCGATATTCTTTCCCTTCATCATCCCTCCTATCCGCCACCTTCGACTGCAATTCACCCCCCATTCTCTGTTCTGTATCTGTTGATTCGGTTTCTCTCGTTGTCGCTGCAATCAAATCTTTTGTTTGCCTTGGTCTGTAATTCTCACATCTGCTCGCAATGAGCGCTTCATCCAGCCTCGCCCGCAGGGCTATAGCTCGCAACCCCTTGCTTGGTCCATGTAAGTTGTGTTCCAAAGTCTCCTTTACAGACCGCCACGGTTATTGACTCTCTCCGAAGCAAGACATCTATCCAGAGGCGTCTCGCCAGCTCTCATCACCAGACATATTGCCCGACAGACCCAGATCCCTGCCTTGGCCCTACTGGTCCCATTGCGCCAATTGGGAACCGAGCCTCATCGACCGGATGCGCCGTCTGGACCGCCCCCAGGGTTCAATGCCGAGCAGGCTAAGAAGCCGCTGCCAAAGGACCCTTCGAGTGCTGCTAAGAAATCAGATGCCGATGCAAAGACAAAGGATGGGTCGGTGACAGCTGCGCAAGCCAAGGCCGATGCCTCATCAACAGAGCTTGCTACCAAGAATGTCGATAACTCTCAGCAAAAGGACCTCGCAAAGAAAAAGGAGGCGGAAGTCAAATTGACGACCTGGCAAAAAGTCAAGAAAGAAGCCCAGCATTACTGGGATGGAACCAAGCTCCTTGGTACAGAGATCCGTATCAGCTGGAGGCTAGCACTCAAGATGGCTGCCGGCTACGAGCTTACCCGCAGGGAAAATAAGCAGCTCCAGCGCACTGTGAAAGACCTGGGCCGGCTCGTTCCCTTCTCCGTCTTCATCATTGTCCCCCTGGGTGAAGCCCTGCTGCCTCTGGCCCTCAAGCTCTTCCCCAACATGCTTCCCAGCACGTTTGAGGGTCAAAAGTCCAAGGAGGCAAAAGCTACTCTGTTGCGATCTACGAGGAAGGAGGTCAGCGGCTTTATTCGCCAGACGCTGAAAGAGTCCGGCCTTCCCCTGAGCCAGGCGACAGCTCAGAAGGAAGAGTTTGCCAAGTTCTTCCGCAAGGTCAGAGCTACTGGAGAAGCGCCCACTGACCAGGACGTTATCAAGGTGTGCAAGGTCTTCCGCGATGACATGACTCTGGATAACCTGTCACGGCCCCAACTGGTGTCCATGTGCCGCTACATGGGTCTCAACACCTTTGGCACAGACGCCATGCTGCGATACCAGATCCGCCATCGCATGCGTCAAATCAAGCGCGATGATAAGGCTATCGCCTATGAGGGCATTGACAGCCTGACTGTTGCAGAGCTACAGCTGGCGTGCGCCGCCCGCGGTATTCGCACACACAGCGTCTCCCCTGCTAGAATGAGGGCTGATCTGCAGACTTGGCTAAACTTGCGTCTCAAGGAGGGCGTTCCCTCTACGCTGCTGGTCCTGAGCAATGCTTACATGTACGGCCAAGGATCCGGCGAGGGCTCGAGCCAGATTGAGGCCCTTGTTGGTGTTCTCTCCTCCATCCCTGAGGAGCTCTTCCATGAGATTGAGCTGGAAGTCCACAACGCTGAGGGCGCCGCTACCAACAAGCAGCGTCTCGAAGTCGTCAAGGAGCAGCAGGATCTCATTGAAGAGGAAGAGATGCAGAACAAGGAGAGCCAGACAACAGGCTTTGCTACTCCCCGTGATGTCGATGACATTGACGAGAAGGAAGAGCGAGAAGCGTCGGCCGCTAAGAGTGGCTTAGAGACGAAGCCAGCCGGCGAGATGGTTGATGCCGAAATGGAGCAGATTAATGTCATTGAGGCTGAGAAGAAGGCCAATGCCCAGGAGAAGAAATAATGACATATCTTCAAACGACAAAGATGTGAAAAAAAAAAAAAAAAAAGAAAAAAAAAGGAATTCATAAAGGAGGCAAATCCACGGCGTATGCTATAGCGCCGGCAGTCAAACGACTTGTTATTCTCATTTCATATGTACACAATGGGCTTATTACAGCATACCCGAATGGATAAGGGGTCATGTTACTACATAAACTAACAATAAGCTGGATGATGCAAACATGAAAACTTATTTGAGCGGTGGGCGGCATAGACATCTCGACACAATCAGGAAACAACAAATAGACTACGTATATGATTATAATTGCTTGCTAGTACCATGTGTTTATCTTGCTGTTTGCTATGTGATGAATTCTTAACAACAGGACAAGCACATAGCCGTCGAGCAAATGTTAAAGTGGTGAAATATGATACTGAGCATGTGCAAGTGAAGCACCAGCATCGTAAAATAGCCAGAAAAGCTGCCGCCAATCGTCGGCGGTTGGCCACGAGGCTGTTGCGTCATCGTGGCCCACGCAGGTACCAACTTGGAAGGCAGCGTCGAGCAGGTACCAAAACCGGGCGACAGAAACGGAAGACGGTGCTTCAAATTATGCGCAGAAAACGGGGAAAGACATTCGCAACTGTTTTATCTTATCAAACAAGCATTGTCATCATTCACTTCATTTGATCCTTTCAGCAACAATGTCCTCATTTTGAGGCTGCTGTTATGCGCATTTCGCAAATCCCATCCCGCGTATGTACCTGAGACGCCTGTGGAACCAGGTGCATGTAGGCTTGCTAATTGCGTGCAGCCTTCACACAGCCTCAAGTCATTCCAGCCAACTGGCAACGCCTGTTCGCTAGCCTCGGAATTTACGTTGCCTATCCTAAACTCTCAACTCTCAGCGTTTGCTCACAGCCTTCACTCGCCATTATTCGACCGTAGCCGCGCCGCTTCAAGGTTGGGAGCGCCTCGATTCAACTGTCGCATCTCCGCTCGGCATTTCTCAAGACTGACAGCCTCAGCTGCCGTCATCCGATCAACCATCACCACTCAGCCAAGCTCCCCGCCGATGCTCCGACCATGACGAGCCCCCAAGACAACGACCAAGACGACTTCTCCAACGTCACCTGGAGCGAACATGTACACGAGCAGACAGCGCGCTCTGCAGCTGTCGCCGCCGCCGAGGGCCCCGGACACCCCATAGAGGAGGTTGGAAACAGCTCGGCGAATGCCCTCGGCCGTGAGAAGCTCGAATGCACCGTTGGGTCGCCCATCAAGGAGAATGACGGCACCAAGGATGCTTTTGTGTCATATCTCGTCACCACTCACGTACGTACAGCCGATTCATGATTGCAAGCGACTGGTGGCTCTGGCTCTTGTCTTATCCTCTCCCTTCCTACCCCGCCTTGAAGCTGTCGCAAGGCGATGCTCTACTACAGGCTGCCGGCTAACTCAACGTGCAACATGACCTTAGTCTACATTCCCATCCTTCCAGAAAGAAGTCACGACGGTGAGGAGGCGCTTCACAGACTTCGCTTTTCTGTTTAAGCAGCTCATGCGAGACTACCCCGCCTGCGCCGTCCCGCCAATCCCGGACAAGCAGCGCATGGAGTATGTCCGTGGCGATCGCTTCGGTAATGACTTCACTTCACGGCGCGCCCACTCGCTGCAGCGGTTCCTGAACCGCCTGTCGCTTCACCCAGTGCTGCGCAGGAGCACTATCCTGCACAGCTTCCTCGAAAGCCCCGACTGGAATGCGACCGTCAAGAGCCGCACAACTCGTGGCAGCATAGCGAGTGATCCCGGCGGCTCCAGCGGCGTTTTCGACAACTTTGCCGATACCTTTATCAACGCTTTCACCAAAGTCCACCAGCCTGACAGACGGTTCCTCGAGGTCAAGGAGAAGAGCGACAAGCTTGACGAAGACCTTGGCCACATCGAAAAGGTAATTGCCCGCGTGGCTCGCCGAGAAGGGGACCTGGAAACCGATCTTCGGGATCTGGCGGAGCAATTCCAGAAACTCATCACTCTTGAGCCTGGTATCGAGTCCGCTGTCCACGCCTTTGCCGCTTCCATCGAAGATACGGCACAACACCTTCACCAGCTCAAGGATGTAACAGATCAGGACTATCTTGGATCGCTTCGCGACATGCAGGCCTTCTCCCTCGCTCTCAAGAACCTTCTCAAAGCCCGAGAGCAGAAGCAGCTAGACTACGAACAGCTGACGGAGTACCTCAACAAATCCACTTCTGAGCGCGATTCTTTGCGCTCCGGCCATGGCGCACCCAGCGGGCCAGGTGGTTTCATCCGCGCCAAGATCGAGGACGTTCGCGGAGTGGACCACGAACAGGCCCGGCGAGAGCGCACCAGAAAGCTGGAACTACGGGTCGAAGAGCTCAGCACCGAGGTCGAAAACGCCCGTGAAACCAGCCATCGGTTCGACGACGAGGTGATCCGCGAAGTTGCTGACTTTGAGCGCATCAAGCGCATCGAGATGAAGGCCCAGCTTGGCGGTCTGGCGGATGCCCACGTCAAGTTTTACGGCGACGTCGCCGAGCTGTGGGAGCAATATGTCATGGAGATGGAGAAGGAGGGCGTTGTTCCTATAGCATGAGAATGAGCTAAAAGATGTGATTTTACGTGATATTGATGACAACCTATTTTGCAGCGGTCCTTTTTTTTCTTCTTCTTTCTTATTTTCTATTTCATTCCCACGTAAAGAGGAAAGGGAAGGAGTGTGGTATAGGAACTGGTGTTGAGGTATGCACGGGCTTATACATTCTTGTTTGGAAGGGGGTTTAGAAATAATAATGACACGGATATTTAATACAAGGTATCAACTTACTTTTTGCGCCCAAGAAGCATCTTGTTAAACGATATATAGCCTGGCTATAAGCTACCATTTTTAAGCTTCTGAGAAATGAGAAGAATGCAACGAGAAAATTGGAGGAAACAGACACATTCGTTATGAATGCTAGATTGCTCGTTGTCCGGCGAGAGTGTTCTCTTTGCTTTCACAATAAGAATTGGCAATCGACCCCGTCCTCCATTCAGATGCGGTTCCCATTTCCCATGTAAATGAAATCCATCTAACACAGCGAGGCAACCAAAGGGTAATAGATACATATAGGCATGCGCACCTATCTATACATTCATTATACACTAGCTATGTCCCTCATTCAAGGCAAAACCACTCCATTCAAGCAAAACAGAGTACCTATTGATCAGGGACCATGAAGAAAAATGATATAATTGTAAAATATACTCCGTCTAATGAATACCTAGTTTTCAAAATCCCCTTTTTTTTGTGCTTCAATTCAAAAAACCACAGAGCAGAGAAGTGCTTCTCATCTATATTCAACTCGATAACCTCTGTTTCTCATTACCGTTACCGTCATCATCATCATCGCTCTCCTCGCCAACGACATAATGTTCCGGCTCGTCATCGGGATTATGTCCCGCCAGCCGGGAAGCCGATCGATCCCTATACTCGTCAAACTCATCGTCGTCGTCACTACCGCCGGCAAAGGCATCGTAGAGCTCTCCGCCACGGGTGCGGCGCGTCTTCTTACCACCGTTGGCACCCTTCTCAGCACTGTTTAGACCCTCGGTCTCTTCTTCGTCGAGAAGTTCGAACTCGTAGTTGTTACGGGGGTTGTTGCGCAGGCGGCGGCGGCGAGCGACCCATAGGTAGATACCCAAGCCGCAGCAAAACGCAACGATCAGACCAAGGGCGGCGTAGATCCAGATCTTGGCCTTGTTTCCAAACGTCGGGAGCCAGGAGACCCATGAAGATGGGCTAGTCGTGCTGGATGGTTGGGCAGATTCAGTCCCGGTTGCAGCCTCGTGCTCAGTATCTGATGGCTTTTCATCGGTAGAGGTCTCTTGGGGTTTGGTCGATGATTCTGTGGGCTGTGCCCCAGGCTTCGTTGGGCGCACAGGGTGGTCTGTAGGATTGGTGGTGACAGCCGTCTTAGTTGTGCTTGGCACCGCAATCGATTTGGTAGAGGCCACTCCCGAAACGGTGGACTGAATCACGTCATGGTCGGCATCTTCATCCTCGGACGGCATTGGCAGGGCCTTGGCCTTGCTAGCATCAATGCTCTCGCCCCAAAGCTTTAGGTGCCAGTCGATGAATTTGCCCTTTTCGTTGTTCACTTCCGTGTCTCGGATAATGACAGTCCATCGTCCAACGCCACTCTCGCCCCTGAAAGAAAATTTTGTTAGCACCAGTGGTTTATCTTGGAAATGCAGTAAGAGAAAAATAAAGGGGGAGAAACCTACCAATGGGCAACGGACATGAAAGTCCAGTCATCATAACCGCCTTTGAAGTTATCCTGTTTACGGGAAACGGAAATGTGGCTGATGACGTTGTCAGGGCTGACCAAATCCACGCTCAAATCACCACGGCGGGTGTGTTCAACGTTCATGGTAACAGTGACGTGCTCCAGACGAGCCAAGTTGGCTTCTTTGAGCATATCAGCAGTCACATCAAAGGTCATTGCCAGTCCGTCGTTGCCTTCAGGAATATCCTTTTTGACATGAAGCCAAGGAGAAAAGTACCAGGCCTGAGGCTTCACTTTCTGCCATGTTTTTGATTTCTCAACCAGACCGTAAGAGTCGACTTTGCCGTAACCGAAAGTGTGGCTGAATTGTCTCCCAGCAGAAGTGGTCTGCCACTCGGCGTCTGTCTCGTCCTCCAATTTGACAGCAGTATCCATGGCAAGATATTGCATGTCTCGCCAAGTCAGATCTGGGCGAACTTGCATGACCAGGGCAAAGATACCCGCCGCAAGCGGTGCCGCAGCTGATGTACCTCCATGAGCTGAATAGCAGGCATTTTCTCCAACATCAGTTGTGTGCTGTAAAATGGTAAGCGACTAGAATCGGGTTCGAAGGCAAAGAGGGGAAAAAGAACTTACTATGCCATCGCCGCCACCACTACTGTAGGTGACAACGAGCAAGGCGGAGCAGTGTTCTGAGTAATACGGGTGTTGGCCAAGGCGATCAACCGCGCCGACCGTGATGCTGAAGATGGAGTTTGTATATCCGTCAAAATTGCAGTTGTCGCCGCTCGCGGCACCGTTACCACTTGCGAAGACGTAGATGGAACCAAGGCCTCCTCGGCCTTCCTGAATGCCCTTGAGCATAGCTCGTCGAATCAGGACATCAGGGGCTTCCATGGATCTGCCATCGTCCGGAGGTCCCCAAGAACAAGAGTAGATCTGGTTGTCCTGATATTTGTAGATCATGGCCTCGGCTTCATCTGCATCGCTGATAGGGCTGCTGAGAATTCGAATGCCGGCAATCTTGGAGTCGTAGGCAACGCCAAGTCCGCAAACATCGTTTTTGACTGCAGAAATCTCGCCAGCGCATCTGGTGCCGTGTTTATCATCTGACAAGACCGGCTTGGGTTCAGGGTCGTTGTCGTTGAAATCCCAAGAGCCTTCTGCAAAATAGTTGTCCTTTAGGTCTCGGCTATACATATCCAGGCCATCGTCGATCACAGCGACTGTCGCATTCTTGCCAGTGATACCCTCGAGCCAGAGCCCAGTGACATTGACATCATGGCCAACCTGCACTGTATTGTATAGATGCCACTGCTCTGTAAAGATCGGATCGCCGATGCCCAGGTCTCTCATGACATTTGATTGCGTGAGGACCGCCGAAGCGTCAGGCTTTTGACTCTGCGGGAGTCGAGGAAGCACATTGTCCCTCGGTGGGATGACCCTCTTCTGCAGGCGGCTGCGAGCCTCTTGCTTGGTCGTCAAGAGGACTCCGTCGAGGATGTCGTACCCGCCGGCGTCTCGTTTCCTCCTTTTGCGTTCTCGCACCTCATCTTTGACAATATCTCGGTCGTGCTTCTCGGAGCGGAATACGTGGTGGTCGGTCAGCTCTCCAAGCTGCCCCTCGTGCGTTAATCCAAGACGAGCCGCGATATCGCTGGGTTGTGTTGAATGGTCGAGGTGCAGAACATAGTAATCGTTTTTGTTGTAATCTCTGGCAATTCTGGCAGCCTGCGTCACGGCCACCAGGCTAGCAAGCCCGAGCACAGAAGCGACTCTCATGGCGGCGTAAAGAAGGCAAGGCGCTCGCGGAGCTGCCGGCGCAAAGAAAGGGATGGGACGCGAGTTGAAAGGGAAAAAGTGGCTGAAGCTATGAACTCATGGAGCCCTCTTTTGGGGGGGTTGTTTTTGTTTGTCTGTTTATAGGTCGACTGAAAGATTGTAAAGACGATCTGCAAAATGCTTGTTAGTATTTAGCAAAGCAGAGTTGCAGGTCCAACTTTGGGCTGACGAATGAATGGCAGCTCAGGAGTCGCAGTCGTCGCAACTCGCCACATTGGAGAAGCGACTCGGAACGGCACTCCCGACGCACCGCCTGCGCCGTCTTGCACCACAGGTGGCCAATCACCAAAAAGATGCCAAACGTGAAACTCACCCAGATATTCGGATCTGCAGTGCAATATGCCGCAGATCTTTGGCTTCTCCCAGCTGCTGAAAACAACCAGAAACCGAATCAGTAAAAGATATAAAGATGTGCAAACGAGAATCATGAAACGAATGGGACAGTTGGAGATGCCAGTTGTCGTAACCGTTCTGTCGAAAACGCATTGAATAGAACACCAACTCGCTTGTGCAAGTACAGGTACAAGCAGTCCCCCTCCCCTCGCTGCTATTGCGGGCGCAAAGCAAAGGGGACCACTGGCTGATCGCCGTACCGCTACCAGCTTGCAAGTAGGGGGTCGCACTAGCAGGCTAGATGCCGCGCCACTAACGCAGCTTTAGCAGGTCGGTCTGGGCCTCTGACAGAGCAGATTTGCCTAAACTGAAGCCTAGAGCAGCTGTAGCCGATCCTTTTGGCATAGGCTCCTGCTTTTTATTGATTTTGCGGAGCAATAAACGACACTGCAGACCAGGACTATTGCCTGTCAATTAGGAAAGACCCCCATTTCAGGGTCTCGATTGAGAAGTTGAACTCGAACCCGAGGCAGTCTGGATACTACATGGCCCTTGCTCTTTGTTTACTAGTGACACGTTGTCGTGTTTGATGCTTGCTCTGCAAGTATAAACTTTGGCACCACCATGTAACCATCACGTGTCGTCATTCTTCATCCAGAAGCATACAGGTTCCAAGTCGTCAGCACTCTGTCAAAGCAAAGAATAGCAACGGCGTAAGAATCTAAAACTGTCTGCGGGCTGAGTTGTGCATATACCGCATGCACAAAATAACAACGACCTGTCCTCTCTAAATGCTACACTCCATCTGTGCTAATGGCAATAAGTATCTTATTCGTCAAGTCAAGCTCAATTCAATGGCGCCTCTATTGAAGCGACAATAGACACCACAGCAAACAACACGGGCACGCTAGCTAAATGTTCTTTGTAGCTTTTTCAACCAACAATGCACCAATGCACCAGCAAACCTTCTCTTGCCACATTTCGTAACCACAGCGACCAGCTTTTCTGCTTCAGAAATTTTCGCTAAAAATATTTTGAATTTGACTATATAACGCATTGCAAGGATTGTCAAAGCTTAAGCTATACTGCAGCCACTACTATTCAACTATATATTGAGTCTCCTCCGCATCCACGGCACATAGTCATATGCATATAAACTATTCACAGCCAGCCTCCGGCCCTCAAGGCCACAAATTGCCAAACTCGGAGCTCGAACCGGACCGGCAGAGGAGGTTGCGACATCCGGCCCTCCGGAAACACGCCGATAGAATTGGGGTCTTGTTTGATTTTGAAAAAAAAAAAACCCCCCCCAGTCTCCAGAGCTCTGATTGTGCAGAGATTCGCAGCGCCGAAGCCGGAGGGCAAAGCAGACCCGCTTTGAAGCCATTCTCTCGACTCGACTCATGAGCAGATCTTTAATTGAGAGACGCTACCCATACTACCCCAGAGTTCAGAACCTCCGATACGGAAGAACACGGAGAGAGAAGAGGAAAATGATTCACAAGGGACAGTTTTGTATGTGCGTGAAACGAGAATTCATATTTTCCCATATGCGGTATCGTAAAAAAGGCCCTAACTTTTTAAACTATCACAACATGCCTCGTCACTCCAGATCTCCCAGGACCTTTGCCGAGTGTCCAATGCAGGTACCAAAATAAAAAAACGACATTTTACCCCAAAATGTTTTTCCTCCCCACAACACCATCCTTAAAACCCACAACGCGCGAGTCGCGCTGCTTATTTCTGGTTCTCGGGTCGCAGAGAGCTGTGTAAAGAAAGTGAACATGTTAGCAATGGTGATCTTGAGTGAATGAGATGTAATGTAGTGCTGCGTGATGCATAGGTAACTTACCGAACGGCCTTGCCGGCTCTCCAGATCTCCAGCTCTCGGATCTCCTTCAGCTCAGCCTCATATCTCTCGCGGTAGTCGGGCTGGCTGTTGTATTCGAGGGATCGCTTGGTCTCGGAGCCATCCTTGACGGAATCGTACAGGCTGTTGAAGACGGGCTTCAGGGCATCCTTGAACTTGGGGGTCCAGTCAATGGCACCACGTCGGGCAGTGGTGGAGCAGGCATCGAACATCCAGTCCATGCCGTTGGCACCAATCAGAGGGTACAAGCTCTGGGTGGCCTCCTCGACAGTCTCGTTGAAGGCTTCGCTGGGGCTGTGTCCGCGCTCACGGAGAACCTCGTACTGGGCGAGGAACATGCCGTGGATACCGCCCATCAGGCAGCCACGCTCACCGTACAGGTCAGAGTAGACCTCCTTCTCAAAGGTGGTCTTGTACAGGTAGCCGGAGCCGATGGCAACACCAAGGGCAACAGCCTTCTCCTCAGCCTTGCCGCTCACATCCTGGTAGACGGCGAATGAGGAGTTGATGCCACGGCCCTCACGGAAGAGGGAGCGGACAGTTCGGCCAGAGCCCTTGGGAGCGCAAAGGATGACGTCAATGTTCTTGGGGACATCAACCTTGGTGAGGTCCTTGAAGACGGGGGAGAAGCCGTGAGAGAAGTACAGGGTCTGCGGCAGACAGCCGAGTTAGTCGCAACTTTAACAATGGCACGCCACCTAATTGGGGTGAGGCTGCCATGCGAGTGAGGGGGGAGGGGCAGCGCAGCCACATACCTTGCCCTCAGTCAGTTGAGGCTTGATGGAGGGCCAAGTCTCGGACTGGGCGGCGTCACTGAGGAGGTTCATAACGATGGTACCACGGGTGATGGCATCGTCAACCTCGAAGAGGTTCTTGCCAGGAACCCAGCCATCCTGGATGGCGTCCTTCCATGACTTGCCGTTCTTTCGGACACCAACAATGACGTTGAGGCCGTTGTCGCGGAGGTTGAGACCCTGGCCGTGGCCCTGGGAGCCGTAGCCGATGAGGGCGAGGGTGTCGTCCTTGAAGTACTCCTGCAAGGCAATTGCGGTCAGTTCGTGCGCCTCGCCCAAGCAAATCACCATTGGATGAATTGGAGTGATGGAAAAGTGAGGTGTCTATGACTCCTCGAGGGGGTCCATTTTCATTTTCAATTACTCACCAGAAGCTTCTCTTGGGGCCAGTCGGCACGCTCTACAATGCAGCCAGTTGTCAGATCACAGCTCTCCATCTCATAACGCCTCTGCGCACTTACCATAGACGTCCTCCTTGACGCCCGCAAAGTCAATCGTCTTGACACCACGGACCTGCTGCTGGGACAGGCCAGCCAGGGCCGGGCGAGCAGCAGCGACGGCGCGAGTGGCGCTGCGAGCAACAGTGTATGAGCGCTGGGCCACACGAGGGGCAATCAGCTGTCGAGCAATTGGTGCCCGCAGGGTCTTGGAGAAAGCTTTTGAGGCCATTGTGAGGAGGGATCTGGTGTGTAAGAGGGATGAAGAGGAGAAAAAAAGAAAGAAAAAAAAGAAGAGGGAAGTAGGAAAGTTTATTTAGCAGAGAGCAGATGAGCAACAGATCGTCTACCTTTTGAATTGGGTGGGTGGGGGAAAAGCCTCAGTGGCAGCAGCCCGATCTCGGTGGTGCCAATTGCGCCAGCTCCAGCAGCTTTTCTGTCTAGACGGAGGTGCCCCCTGTCCCACACATGTGAAAAAACCCCCGTTGTATGTAATTCGAGCCTAGCCCTGCCAAGGGTTTATCAGAAATTGCCTGTACAGTCAGTGCGATGAGTAACAGAGACAATGGCGAGCCTTGCTTTGACGTTTGTGGTGGGCCCTCAGCTTACTGTACTGTACCCAGAAGCATGTCTTGTGTCAATTGGGATGTAGCACGTCGTAATATTGCGGCAGGATTTTAGCATTGCTGTGACTACAGGTAGTGGCTATTCCGTGGCCAATTGGTCAGCCATTATTGATGAAGTTGATGTTCCCTGTGCAATTGTTCAACCGCTGTGATTAGAATTCCACGAAGCTGCTGCTCATCCTCCCCGCAGCCGACTGCTCGTCTCCCAGCCAGAGGTGACGCATCCGATGAGCGCTTGCAGCGCCCACTTGCTCCGTTAAGGCTCCAGCAGCGTGGAGCTGCAGCCCCACCTCAACCGCCGAAATCTGGCTTCTGCTGCTCGTGTCCAATGGAGCGTTTCTTATTCCAAGTTATTTGTTCGAGCCATTGGCGTCTATCCATGATGATTTACTCTTAGCAATTTCAAAGCAGAGCCTTCTCTGCCCCTGCATCATCATCTTCTTCTTCTTTTGCTCTCTTGAAGCTCACCTTGTAATCATCTCTAGCCGTCTCCAAAACATCTTCTCGTCTCGTCATGGCCAAGCTCCGGTCGTGATCCGGAGAGTCACCAGCCGCAGCATGTATTTTCGCACCTACAACATGCCGGGATACCCAACACCAGCCTCTGGTATCTTATTTACCACCCTCATGTAGTTCTCTTCCCTTTGGTCCAATTGCTCTCTCCCTGCCTATGTCTGCGTGCTACGTGGGCGAATGCATGCACAGGTACCTCGCCCAAGCAGCCAATCACGTAGACGCTTTCTCTAGATACTTGTAGCTCAGTTTCTTACAAGTACTTGTTCTGCATTGCATGACATGCAAGGACAATGTCTTGGGTTGAGCCACGCAGCGGTCGTGGAGTGATGGAATTGCTCAGGTTTCAGACTGCGTTGCACCGTGTACTACACTAGGACTTTGTATATGCCTGGCAGGACACACTCGGGCCATTTCGGAACGGCCTCAGACAAAACATCGATTCATCTAAAATGGCAAGGCTCTTACGGCGTGTTGATGGTATGAAGCAGTATCAACTTTGAGCAGCCGAGCCTGCAGGGGAACACCGAATGTGTGAGCATCAGCTTACACCTAGCTAGCACACCATTTAACTATTACTAGTGGCCGATCGGATAGAGGTAAAAAGGCTGGCTGGGGAACGATTTCTGGCAGCGTCCTGACACTACTGTAGCTCCAATGTCGTCTTATTATACAGCGTAGGAAGCTGGGAGTATTGAACCTTCCATTCCATTGGTACCATCACCTACGCATCGTGTATAAACCGCAGGGTAGCTTAGCCTGCCACTCCCAATTATCGTCACAACCAAAGATTAACCAGTGAGCTTTTCTACTCCAAAATACAGACTCCGTCCAAGCACAGTATTACGCAACAAACGCCATATATTTCTATGCTATGTGTAATGAAAGGTAGGTAGTATATAGATAAGTTGAACTCTCATAGCAAGCTAGGTCTCGCCAAGAGAGAAAACATCCGAGCAGCATCTTCTCATTGGCACACACACCAGCGGGAGCTAAGGTTCCATATGGGAAGCACAATCTCTCCAATGTAGGGAAAAAAAGATATGTGCTGGATATCGGACGATACATGTCCTTTATATAGTATGTCGGGTGGTCCTCGTGTTGCCGTCTCGCCCGTCTCGCCCGCCCTCTTGTTCACGAAACCCCCCCCCCCCCCCTTTCCTCTTCTTATACGCTTCTTCAAGTCTATTTCAGTACCCGGTCATATGTAGTACCCTTAATAGTTCCTCCGCTCATGGCCGTTCGTACGTTTCTCTTGAAGCCTTCTCGGTTGCTTCGCAGGTCATCAGCAGCCTCCTTGTTCAACGGATCCGAAGCGTTGGGTTCTAAGAACAAGAACTGCAAATTGCATTATAAGTCAGCCTCATAACCCATAGCGCATATGCCCTCCTGAGCTGTGCGTGGCCAAGAGCAAAAGAGCACGTGCTGGTTTCTTACCTGCAGCCCCACAATGACAGCATTTAGGTTCAGTACTGGTTTCCAGTCCTCCCGCAGAATGTTCAAGCACACCTTGCCTTCCAGGTCGATATTAGGATGGTAAATCTTTTCCATGCATCGCACTTTTGGAGGCTCGTGAGGGAAGTTCTGGTTGATGGCAAAATCGAAAGTGAACCTGGCCCCTCGGTACATGCCCTCGTCCGGCTCGATACTTAGGATAAAGTTCAGAATGTTGTCAGGGTCCGGGAAATCCGTTCTCATCGTGGCACCGAGTGATAGTTCTGATAAATCTGCAATTTTTGGTTGCAAACAGCCACCTGTTAGCTACCCTGTCATGCAATAGCAGAGCGAGGCTGGAAGGGGTATTTCGGATGGGGAGAGGAAGCTTACCTTTCTGCACTCGTAGCTGCGCCGCCGTCACCTTCTTCCTCTTGCCCCCAGCGGCCTGGCCCTCGGCATTCTCAGCCTCTTTTTGCTTTTTTTTCTAAATAAAATAGGCGTTAGGAATCTCCGTGGTAGAATATAAGCTGGGCGCGTGCCTAGTACCATAGACCATATGTTCAACATCTTGGGCTGTTGGAGTGTCGCCGGTGTGACCGATATCCTGAAAAAGGCTGGCTGCAAGAAGAGAAAAATGAGAGACGAAAGACAAGAGAAATGCTTTTGACGAGTGAGAAAAAAAGGGCCTAGACCGCCGATGTGGAAGAGGACTGAGCCTTTCGATTTGTGCACAAAAGGTGATGTTTTGGATAACAAGGAAAAGCAACCGTTCATCGGCGGGGACCGATGTTGCCTTGCCTGCTGGAGATGCTGTCACACAGTCGCGATAAGATAAGGCTCCCCGTACTCCATAGTTTTTTATGCGTTCATAATCTTACACTGGCCGGAGTTTATGCGGCAACAAACACGCGCAGAGCGCATACTCTTACTGTGCTACATATATACGGACGACGAAATAAACACAAGCATTTAGGTCATTAAATCATTGAATAGATAGATTTCCATGTTTCCTCTCTAATATCCTTTCTCTCTACTCAGTAGGCACACCGCAAAAAATTTCTTCCAAACTATCTGCAAAACACTTTTTTTTTTCGTCTCAGGTTGCCTATTCCATCCCGTGTGAACAAAGAAACATGCTAAAAACATTAATGCCTTAATAACGTTACAAGCCAAGGTATATCTGTATATGAAAATAATTTGTCTAATAGGCAACCCCGTATATTCCTGGAAAACCACAACCGCAAAAGTCTTGATCGGAGTTGCATCCGATCTTTTTAATTTATCTTCTGGCGAAGCAGCACATGAGACCCGTCTTACCCAGGAACCAGAGGAACCCGATGAAGCGGACGAGAGACAGCACGGCGGTGGCATACAGAAGGAACTTGAAGAAGCTGGCAGTGCGGTTGGAGGCAGATCCCTAGAGTAGTTGTTAGTTATCAGAAGCATTCTGGCAGAGACCGTACCAAAGAAGCTAGTACTTACCACAAAGCCGACTTGGCTAAAGCTGTCGGTGGTGACACCGATGATCAAAACAATGTTGGTAAACAACCAAGAAACGACCAGACCGGTACGGAAAGACTTGTAACCATCTTCCACGTCCTTCTTCTCAATCTCTTCCTCATCCTTGAAGGGAGCCAGGGCTCGTCGCACAGTCTGTTCGAACTGACTGTCGATATCCTCTTGCTCCTTTTCAATTTCTTCGACAACCACTTCGTTCTTCTCGCCCTTCTGGACATTGGCAGACGGGAGAGCCTCAGCCTTATCGGAACCCTTGGTACCCCAAGACACATCGTGCCAGTTGTTGAAAGCGTAGACCATGAGAATGTTGATGTAGGTCGACATGAGCAACAGGTAGTGGGGGAAAGAGTGGAACATGTGCCAGGGATCGAGGTACAGGAAAGAAGCAATGAAGTAAAGGCCGTAAATGGTAATCAGGGCAATGATGATGACACCTGCGGCACTCGCACCGAAGAAGAAACTCTTGACAAAGTCTTCGCCGTTGTCAAAGTTGATCTGCTGGTCGAGGGGTGTCTTGAAAGCGGTAACAACCAAGAAGACGGAAAGAACCAAGATGTAACCCTGAATTAAAGCAAAGACCATGAAAGAAGCAATATAGGTGAACTTGGAACCCTTTGGTCTGTTACCTAGAGCAAGGATAAACTGCAAGATGACGAATGCAAGATAGATATATTTCAAAAGCGTGTTGACAATGGGCGTCGCGGTATCTCCAAAGGGGAAAGCGTGATGCTCATTGGTGTTGCTGGATGGAATAGAAGGAGTACCGACAAGGTCCATGATGACAGTGGTGGTAAGGTAGTAAGAAGCCAGGGAGAACCAAGAGAAGATGACGTTGAGGAAGTTGTAAATAAGCTGGATGTGCAAGAAGAACATGCGGATGATGTTGTGGCCACTCTTGTACATTCGGCCAAAGTGCATCAGAGAGTACAGAGAGGCAGCAAACGAACCGTTGAGCCAACGACGACGCTGACTGATGAATTCGGCGGCACCTTCGGGAACATCAGTCTCACCCTTGGCAGCCTTGATGTAGGTCAAATGCCATTTCTGACCAGCCTTGGCGACCAGCTCGAAACAAAGAATACGATCTTCGGCCAAGAACATGTTCTTCTTGAAAATGTTCATGCCGTCGATACCCTTCTTACCGAGAAGCTTGGAAAGCGTGTGGTCACCATGGAAATACTGCTCCAGAGGGCGTCCCATGATGGCTCGGAAACGATAGGCAGAGAAAGCACCGGGCAACACAGAGACGTAGCCGAAAGAACTCTCCAGAGGCTTGTCAAGAATATTGGAAATCTTGTACTCAAAGTTCTGCACGGCGACCAGGGGGTTGAGCAGCTTCTTGCCGCCCTTGCCCAACATGGCGTGAATCTCACCACAAGCACCACCAAGATCCTTGTCGTTGTAGAAACCCTCCCACAGAGCCAGCAGCGAACGAGGGCTGGGCTTGGTACCGGCATCAAGAAGAATACAGACTTCGGGGTTCAAAATTCGGCCAAAGGCGTTGAACAGCCAACGATGGGAGTTGATCTTCTTGGTGTTCTGCTGCTTCAAGCAGAAGATGAACTGCACAGGGGGCAGGTTTTGCGCGTTGTCAGCAGAAGGTCGGATGAGCTGCTGGTTAGGCGTGACGGAAAGCTGACTGGTGTACTCAAAAATGTGAGCGACGGTTTCCTTGCCGTCGACATCCTTCTTGACGACACCATCCTGGTACACACCAATGGTGGCGAGCACGTCCAGGGTGTTCTTGTCAGCCTTGTCGATACCGTCAAAGACAAAGCAGACGACAATCTTCTGCCAGGCGGGACCTCCCTTGTTCCAGAAAGTCGATTTCTTGAGGTTGACAATGTCTCGAATGTTTTGCATCACACCGTGCAGAGTTCTGGCAAGCAGAACCTTGTCTTCGTTGTAGTACGTGATGGCAATAAGAAGCTCCGTGTGGCGGTTGTACATGCGCGGCCGCAAATCGTAACCGTTCTTCAGGGTGAAGTCATTGGGATCACAGGTAGCGGCAGTGTATCGCATCTTGATAAACTCCTCGTTGCCGCCTTCAACATCGCGGTACTTGGGCTCAACTGCGTTTTTGATGGCACTGGGCACCGGGTAGTCGATACTCAAAACGGAGCCCTGGACAAGCTTGACCTTTCTGGTGTTGTAACGCTTCAGACCGCCACCGGCAGCGGGCTGCTGCTGTCTCTGCACCCAGCTATCATCATCGTTATCGTGGACAGTGGAGGCAGGGCGGGGGAAATCGTATCCCGGGCCCTGTCCGTACTGGTTGTAGCCATTGTCACTGCCCAAGCCAGGAGTGCCGATGGGTGATGCTCCAGGAGCATAAGACTCGGTGAGACTGTAAGCTGAGACAGGGCGGTCGGGAGGAGTTCCCGCGCCAAGTCGGTCATGCTCGTAGCCATGCGCGCCGGGCTCGTTGAGCAGATATCGTCCGGCTTCTTCCTCTTGCTCGTGGGGAGGCAAGTGGTACTAGAGAAGAGAAGACAGCGTTAGCCAAACCTTGCTTAACCTAATCTCGACATCGTCCTCAGCTCTTTAGGTGTTTTGGGTGGCTACTCACGCTACTGCCTGAGGGAAGATCCTGTAGCGGGTGTCCCCCGCCTGGGCCACCGCCGGCACCGTTGTATGCCATGATGGTCTATTTCTAAAGTGATATCAAGATGGCGGCTATGAAAATCGTGATGCTAACGAGCGTCTTTGGTGGGATGTTTGTTCGTAAATCGTGTCTAGGAAGTTGGCTCGCGTATGTAGGTACCAAATAGGTACAATATGGGGGGGAACGAAAAAAATAGGGGACCCCAAAGAGAGAGAGAGGGACGAGAAAAATCTATTGAGCTCTATGCCAGCTTTGTTTGCGGAAAGCAACCCGACCCCTAACGATACGAGCAATGAGGCACCAGCCTCGAGCGATGGGATTGAAGGTTGGGGAAGATGGAAGAGCGAGAGTTGACGACGAAGCCTGGTGGGCTGAAAAGAATAATAAGGGGAGGGAAAGGCTCTCGCGAACGATTCAGGAGATGCCCCAAGTGCTGCGTGCTTCTAGGATCTTGTTTCGGACAGTACGAAATGCATACAGTGCCCGGCCACTCGAGCGCTGGCCCAGAATAGGGGAGACTACATAGAACGCTAAGGGGCCTCGAGGGGGGGGAGCTGAGCCACCGCACCTGCACTGTACAGACTTCTCAAACAACAGGCGAACAGATTCACTGGGCATTCTTTGGGCTAGGCCTATCAGCCCCGAGTTAGCGTCTGCGGTGAGACAGCCGCAGCGAACGCTCGCTGTAAGACAGGAAAAGCAGCGCTGGGAGCTCGAGCAGAAAAACGGCCGGAGGCAGCAGAGTAGGTATCACCTGTCGTCATCACGTTGCCCCTCCCTTTATGCAGGAGGGTCTAGCAACTTGTCGCGTTGTTACATTCACTTGCACCTACAAGTACAAAGAAAACAAGATTTTGCTTGTTGCTGGACACCCACATTCCATCTCATGGCTCGTCACATCGTCACAAAGCCGCCGGCGATTTCGAGCTGTCAAGGCTGCGGCAGATGCTGAAAGAGCTCCCCTATGCTCGCACGAGCCGCAAAAGTGTCAAAATCTCGTATGGCTGTGGGCAAAAAAAAAAAGACATGGCGGTATCCGCTCTTGAAAGCCCGGGCCTGCAATAGCACCAGATGCTGACATCCAATCCCTGGAGCGCGGCTGACTGCGTCCCACTGTCTGCTGGAGAAGGACGTACAGTAGCTGGCACTGTGCACTCTCGGCTCGGTTCACTAATAAGCGTGTGCTCCTTATTCCAGCCACAGCAGTGCTTATAGAAGCTGCCCGGACGATATTTTGCGCATATTAGCATCATTCCGGCTCGTATATTGGACTGATTCCATCTCAATGTCCATCTCTTCATTAGCGATATTCCTCATCCATGCTTCATGTCCCCTCGCCCATATGCTCGGGAGCAGAGCGATCCGCTAGCCAGCCGTAGGGCTCTTCTCATCTCATCCACTGCTAGGCCTCTCTGATCGATACCAAAAATAGCACCAGCTAAAACCGATTGAGGCCAATGACAGCTCTGCGTCCGCAGCACTGTGGAGGCGGCGCAGCCACAGTCTGTTTCTGTTAGACTTGGATTCCACGCGTTAGTGGTAAGGCTTTTTGCTGATCTTATCATGGTACCGTGTTTACAGTGCGAGATGCCTGGGCGCGCCGAGGACGCTAGCTCTTGGCTAAGCACAGACTTGCTGAGGCTTTGCTGGAGGCACATGCTTTGTAAAGTTTGGGTGCCCGTCTTCTAAAATACATCCATGATATCCTTTGACCTCCGCATCATTGTTGGTACTGTAGGAGAGGTGTACCGTATACGAACAGTACCTGGCAAAGTCCGTCTTATGAGTAATCACCCGCCGGTGATGTGGCAGGCAATCGCTTCTACTTGTGCGCAGTGGCCTGCGTTGATGCCGCATCTCAAAGGCATCGATGCCCGGCAGCTCGCCCAGGAACCTGTAATAAGGCATTTTCCGCCTCCCGCAACCTAGGGGCCACATGCCAGTTAATATTAATCTGCCAGTCTGGGCGATTAGATTCAATTTGCGCCAGCCCCACTGACAATTCGGCAGACGTTGCAATTCTTCTCTGTCTGGTACTTATTGTCCGGCGCCACTACCCAGATGCAATAGAGACGATACTGCACGTACATAGCATCAACCTGTGAATAGATGCGCGAACAGGCCACGAACAGAATGCCCTCTAGCCTATTCAGACGCCCAGCCGGGCCCTAGCGTGGATGCGCCGTCCGTACCAGATACGATACGAATCTGCATCGTCACGCTCGCTATCTGAGAACAATGTTTTGCGCCTATCGGCCTGCCCCATGCCTGGTGTTCCCGTACCGCGTATTGCAGTGTCCAATCGCCACCTTGTGGAAAAAATCCTCACTTTCTCGTACGGAGAATCTCTGGCCACACGAGTGGGAGGCGGTGCGTCTGGGTCGCTAAGCCCCTTTTGGCCGGGCGCGCCCCACTAAGGGATCGAGATGAAATTTCCCAACCGCAGACAGGATTTGTTCTCCTGAATTGCATGTACGGAGTTAGGAGTATCAGGGAGTACGTGTCTGTGCCTGGCAAAGAGCGGTCTTCACAACAACCTCACGCCCACGCGCCTCTTGCATAGTCTTCATTTCTTCTCTTCTTCTAGAAGAAGCCTCTCGTTTGACCCATCGTCGTCTTCTCCCTTCCGACGCAGATCGCGCCATCTCCGCCCCCAGAGACTTTCGCGTGGAACCCACCCTTAGCGACTCTGTCAAGCCAGCCTCTCATTTCACCCTCATCTTCACCCTCACTCTCGTTACCGCTGCCCGTAGTGCAGCATTGCTCGTTGCCTGGCTGTCTGAGCGTCTCTACCAGTTAGCTTCACAATGTCAGACAAAAAGAACGACGACTATGGCCATCGGGATGCCGAGATGGGCGATGGCGGAAAGGTCGAGACGGCCTACTCTCGCTCGCCCTCGCCTCGAATGGCTGCTCCAACGGGCTTTAATTTGTCCAAGATCGACAACAGTCCGGGGGCGTCTGTCCTGGGTTACTGCTTGGCCTCCATCAGTATGACTGTTGTCAATAAATTCGTCGTGTCTGGCTCCTCATGGAACATGAACTTTTTATATCTTGCTATTCAGGTACATATTGCTCTTCAAAACCTCTCATCCATTTTTTTTTTTCCATTTTGCTCTTCCTTTATTTCAAAACACGGCAATGTCTAACTATAAAATAGTCCATTGTGTGCTGTGTTGCTATTCAGGCTTGCAAGCAGGCCGGTCTCATTACCAACCTTTCTGCGTTTGACGTTGAAAAGGGCAAAAAATGTTAGCTCTTGTTGTCTGAGAGAGTTGTGGATTGACAAAGTTGCTAAATTTGTACAGGGTTCCCAATTTCTGTTCTTTTGGTTGGTATGATTTATACCGGCGCCAAGGCTCTTCAATACCTGTCCGTGCCTGTATACACCATCTTCAAGAACTTGACTATTATTGTCATCGCCTATGGAGAGGTGCTCTGGTTTGGCGGAAGCGTCAGCCCAACCATTCTTCTCTCCTTTGGCTTGATTGTTTTCAGCTCCATCGTTGCCGCGTGGGCTGATGCCGATGCTGCTAGGGGTTCATCAAAAGCATCTCAATCCCTTGCCACTCTGCAGGTCGGCTATACCTGGATGGCCCTGAATGTGTTTTGCCAAGCTGCTTTTGTTCTCGGTATGCGCAAGGTCATTAAGAAGATGGGCTTCAAAGACTGGGACAGTAAGTGTTTCTCCTTATATATATATATATATATATCCGCCAAGATTTGATAACAAGTGCTAACCATTCCCTTCCAGCCATGTTCTACAACAACTTTTTGACCATTCCGGTCCTGATTGTTGGCTCACTTCTGCTTGAGGACTGGTCTGCTGAAAACCTGGCTCGAAACTTCCCCGCAGAGACTCGAAACAGTCTCATCATCGGTATGATCTACTCGGGTCTGTGTGCTATTTTCATTTCATACTCGTCTGCCTGGTGCATTCGTGTTACTTCTTCTACCACTTATTCGATGGTGGGAGCTCTGAACAAGCTTCCCATCGCTGTCAGTGGCCTTATTTTCTTCGATGCCCCCGTTACTTTTGGCAGCGTGTCTGCCATCATCATTGGTTTCTTCAGTGGTCTTGTGTATGCCTGGGGCAAGGTTCGCCAGACCGAGAAGGCCAAGATGTCCCTTCCGGTGACCAAGCCTGTCATGAGTGCCAGTTCTCAGAGCAACAACGACGCGTCAAACTCGTGAAGCTCTGGCTTCAATAGATTAAAAAGACTTGAAGGGGATGGAAAAGAATGGAAAAGGATGATAAAGGATGGGCAGCGGAGTTTGAGTATTTATGCTGCTATTGGGAAGTTATAGAATTATGTGGGATTGTACTCTAGATTTATCCGGCCAACGTGTGAAGATGTCAAGATTTAATGATGGCAGTGTTCTTGTCATGATAATTACGATTCTTTAAAGACATTTCAGGACATGATCAATATTTTCCCGTGTGAGAGAACCAAGTCCGGAGTAACCGATGCAAGAGAAAGGCTTCATCGCTTCAGAATGCCACTTGGTAAGATACCTACGATGCCAATTGTCTTCACCAAGGCCTGAATCTTCGTACATTCGAGTATAGCAAGAGCCGGCGAACATTATGTAAACGTCCAAGAGTGCCTAACATGGTATATCTGTAACGAGCTTATCCCAAAAACGCGCATTCTCCGCTGCAATCCGGACATCGCCCAGGTTCCAGAACGAAGGATCTGCACGATGCCATCTAGTCATATTTTAGAGTTGCAATTCCTCGTACTGCCGGCCCACGCAGTTTGTGTGCCTATCTGCAGGACTTGCCTATAAGATGAGACTGCAAACTAGGTAGTATCTAGATTTGGGGTGAGATTGACTCTGGCCGCGACTTTGCGGGACAAGAGATGGCAATCCTGCTTAAATTGAGTGCCTCGATATTGCCCATACCTCGTATTCCGTGCGCTGTATGCAATATTCTTTGCCTGATTGGCGACCACGAGTCCACGAGTAAGACTTGCACGTGCGAAACGTGCTCGCCTCTAAACCACACCACACCCCCTTGCGCGAGGACTGTTCATTTTACGGGTGTTCATGCTCGAGAATGGCGGGGAGCGAGCGTGATTTGCTGGCCACCGGTAAATTGTTAATTTACGGGGAAACAGAACTTGCTGCAAGTGTGGCATCTTAGCTCGGGACCAAAGCACAGAGTAAGCAAGGGGATTGACGAGGGCAAGAAAAGCCAAGGAAACAGCTATTTTTCACTTTTCCTGTTCTCTGGTTCTTGGTGGATCATTTGCACCGGGAAGATGCCTGCTGCGTGCCCCCAAGTACGGTTTTTTCTTTCCTCATCCTGGACTGTGCTACTGCAACGCCCCCGTGGAGGAAGAATCTCGCGCAAGCCGCCCAATAAAATGAAGAAACCATCATTGGATCCAGGGACGGCTGGGCTTGATTAGTAGGGGAAAAAAAACGTTTCTTTTCGTCCCACGCGGGCTGCGAGGCGCTGCAGGTAGCGGAGTTGCAGGTGGCACCAGGTGGTTTACCCACTGGACACGCGAGGCATCTTCAAGCCTCTTTACTGTATTCCAATGTGATTTATCCGAGGGCCAGAGTCTTTGCTGCAAGGCTCGTTGGGAGCGATGGCCGGCAGCGAAAAGCAGCCGATTGAACCGCATTACGTGTCCACGGAGCAGAAGAATCAATCGGAATACGGAGAACATGCCACTCGTGTATACGTACCCTTCACCCTAGACGCCCACTATGGCTCCGTACAGTAGAGACACCGCACGGCAGTAGCGGATCGAGTGTCAAATCAAGACGGTCAGCGTCTAGATGTAATTAAAGAGAGCCCGAGAGAAAAAAAAAATCGGTAGCACGCCCAGCCGGCGCATTGCCGTGAATCTTATTCCAGCAAAATGGATTTGATGCAAACTAAAAATCCACAACGTTGCAGCCAGGCTGCCGTTCAGCATTGGCGGACAGAAGACAGCCTGAGCATGGAAGGCATTGAAGCAAGGTCCACCCTCGCCAGGAATGAGGTGAGTGCTAGTACAGAGTCACGATAGTGCTCGTCGCAGTGCGACTCGGACTAACAGCTACTAGCAGGTGGTAAACAATCAAATAGTGGCGCTGCAACGGGGGAGCGGATCCCACGGTGCGATCCCATAGTATCCGGACGGTCCCTCCCAGCGGTGCGGCGCCCCACCGCGCGCAGCTCCCGCGGCCACTCAGCGCCTCCCCCAGCCCCTGGCACCGGTCCAAAACAGCCCAAAACAAGAGGCTGTCAGAGGGCCCGCCGGCGCGAGATGCACTGTGCGCGGCCGCTGCGAAGTGCAGGCGGCTAGGCTCCAAGCGGCTCTAGCTCCCTGGCGCTGCCCCTGGCGCCAGAAACGCCCTCCCATGGCCAAACCGGGGGGTCCATCTTTCTGCGTTCTTTGCTGTGCAGCAGCGTTCAGAAGGGCGAGCTTGGCGGGCAGGGCCCTGTAAAGAGCTCGTGCTTCAGCGCCCAGCTGCGTGTCGCTCTGCCGCCCGCCCCAACCCAAGCGCAGTTCCTTCTTTCGCTTCTCACCCAAACCTCCACTGCGCCCTCTTTTCCTCGCCGTCAAACGACAATCAGCACAGAAGAAAACACCGAGCGTCCAACGAACCTGGGAAAGGCTGCCGCAAGTCTGTTTCTCTTTCGTTCGTTTTTCTTCCTCCTCGACTGTCGCCAAGGCCGATTATGTCGTTCTATTCGTCTTGATCCAGCATCTTGTTGTTGTTTACCACTCACACTCGCTTCTCTTTTTTCAACTACCTTTTTTGTTTAATTTTTTGGATTCGTTTTGTTTGAGCTAGACTCAGTCCACTCCTTTCTTCCAATTTCCCGCCGTTCTTCAACCTTGAACTGCGTTACGAGACAAAGCGCTCGCCTTCTTTGGCCGAAGACATCTACTCGAATATCAACACGTTTAAGCGACAAGAAAAGAAAAAGACCAAAATCAACTATTGGAAAGACGCTGCCGATCCGTATTATCCGCTGAATTCGCTCGACGCCTTGTTGTTAACGAATCCGACTTGAACGGACCCCATCTCGTCACTGTGAATCACCGAGCGCTACCATCTATTGTCACAAAGAAATCACCCAAGATGGACACGACCTCGTATCTCGTTGCGAGGGACATTACGGAGCTGCATGAAGGTGAGGAATCTCAGAGGCATGGGCGCATGCTGCTATCCTATCACGGCTACTAACATCTATCCCAGTGATGAGACTGGTCCCGAGAGCAAAAGACTGCGTCAAGTGCGATGACACGTCCAAGCTTCAATGTCCTTCTTGCAATTCCAATGAGAGCTGTCAGTTTACAGTTCCGCTCGATTGCACGCAATGTCCCACGTCCTTCTGCGCGCCAAATGATACGCCCTCGGCCGACAGTGGAAAGGGTAGTGGTGGTAGCAACGGGCCAAGTGCAGGCCCTATTGCCGGTGGTGTCATCGGTGGACTTGCTGCCATTGCCATCATCACGTACCTTGTCTGGAGATTCCTAATCAAGCCCAAGAGACAAAGCGCCCAGGCGGTCTATGGCGCCGAAGAGGGCGTAGCTGAGGGCAGCGAAAAGAATGGCAACCGAGTTACACGCCGCGGATCGACACATACTGTTCATTCCATTGCTTCGACTGTTCTCACTCGCGCTTCCAACATTATCCAAATCGCCTACATTCCCGGCGTCACCAACCGAGCCACTCCCACGTCACCCAATGTGCTGGTCCCCCCCGTCCCGCCGATTCCCATGCACCACACCGAAGGATACCGCGATTCCGAGGCCGACCCTCACTTTTTCGTTCCCGGCAACTTGCGAGACTCGACATACTCTGGTATCTCTGCCTTTTCGGACCGAACTTCATTTGCTCCTCCTCGCTCGAGCGTTGCGTCTACCATCTTTGGCGGCGGCAAGCAGCAAGTTCTGACTCCGGCCCAGACCGGTATGCGTGCCAAGCCGACAATGGTGAGCGTCAAGTCTGGCTCCAGCGCCCCCAGCACGCCCCCTGTTCCCAGCATCGACTTTGACAAGTTCAACTCTTCCAAGCACCTACGACCTACGAGTGCGGCAAGCAATTTCAGCGTTGGATCTACTTTCCTCAACAGCGCCAACACCGTTACCCAAGCTCGCGCACAGGTTGTCAAAGTGGGAGGCTCTGGCCTGAGAATGGTGGAAATTGCGTCCAAGCCTGAGGCTAACGGATCTTCCACAACACTCGGCAACAAGTCACCAGAGACATTGCTCACCGTTACTACTCCACCCACGAGCCGAGGAGAGTCATCAGTTGAAGACCAGGGGCCATTCTCTGACCCTCCAGAGGGTGATATGAGCCCCAAGATCTCTGTTGAGGCTCCTTCTTCACCTGGCCGGGAAAGGGCGGCCACCAAAGAGGAGCAACATTCAGGCTCTCAGAAGCGTGATACGAGCCCCTTTGGTGATGAGCATGAAACTAAGGATTAATTCAATCAACCCTGAAGGCCTTTTTCTATATGTTGATTCCCATGACTCAATGATGAGCGTGATGGAGGGGTTTTTTCTTTGTCTCCCTTTTGTCTTTTTCTTATACTCTTCGTGTTATACTTTTTTGGAGACTTGTGCTTTCTTCAGCGACGAGAGAATATCTTCAGTTACGGGTTTATGGCGTCTTTTTTTATACCGGGACAAAATGTCGCAGGGATTGATATGACAGATGGCGGCGTGGATCTTGAAGCAACAAATGGTGACATCTTTTTGTGTGCTCGATTTTACTTATTACTTTTGAATAGAAAACATGATTTGCTTGGCAATTGTGCTATTTATTTGTGTGAAAAGGATTACATCTTTAAACTCAACATCTCAATCTTGATTTCTCGTAGTAGACTCAGTCCATAATTTTGCGGATACTTACCGAAACTGTCTGTAAGCCAATATGCTGAGTGCAAGTCTCAAGGATAACGCCAAAGCGATAGTACCCAGGTAGTATGCCTTGTCGAATGTCAGTCGGAAAGCAAAGTACCTATCGGTTGACTATAGACAACAGAGGCGTTGCACATCAAACTAGTTGATAAGCCGACTATGGCCGATAGGCTGCTCAAGTTTCTGAATCTATACCTGGCCCCCCTTGCTTGAAGGTGAACTTGGGACGCCACCGGGCTGCCGCGTCAAGACTATTCAACGCCCTTGCAGGGTTCAGATGATGAGATGGGAAAGACGGATGGGCAGCTAAGTCGCTCTTTTTTTTTTCCCACACAGTCTATAAGTTTGTTTGGAAGAGTTTCAAAAACGTAAGAATAACATGCCATGTCTTTGAAAAGCCGCCGAGACGTGCACACCTCCTGGGGGGCTTCAGAAACCGTTAGATGGCGTGTAAGTTTGTGTAGAGGCTTCAGGTCCAATGCAAGAGAGCGGGGCAGCAACTTGACTTCTCTTCTAGTGAGGCCTTTTTTGCTTCTTCTTCTCCCTTGGCATCTGCTCATATTCATCCTTTTTTTTTTTTTTTTGTCTTTTTTAGGTCAGCAATTAGTTGTTGGTTGGTTACCCAGGTGAAGACGGGAACTTTTGTTATCTTCTGTTGCGGGAGAGATGTTTAGTTTACGGTTAACTAAATTCGGTTGATGCTGCCGGTCTTGGCTTGGAGCTGTCACTTTTAGTTTCTTTTTGAGGAAGGGATTTTGACAGCAGAGTTATAGACGGTCCTGAACAAAACCTATATTGGTAACGCAAACTTGCGTTTTTCTGAATTGCTGAAAGGAGAAAACAGACAATCCTGTCAAAACAAGAGTGGAGAGTCTCAACAAAACAAAAGACACTAGAACAGAAAAAGTCCCATTCTGCGTTACGACACCACAAAAAAAAAAAAAAACACCAACTCAAGCCACTGAAGCAAAAAGAAAGAAGAAGCGTATGAGAATAAGTAGCCCGAAATGACATTTATTATCTGCAATTGGTCAAAGAAGAGGGAAGAAAAATCAAGTTACTAGTCCCACACACACCAACCAGTCGTTTTCTTCCGTTATCCCGCATCCAAAGAAAGCTTTTTAGTTCGCAGTTAGTTCCGCATGGCGGGTTGGTCTACTAGTAGTAATTATGCGGAGTTGCCGAGTTACTCGGATCGCATCACGACCGTTTATAGAAGGCGAGGCTAGTATTCTCTCTTTGGGGAAGACAAATTAGTCGCAGTGAGAAGACGGGAAGCGAAATAGCATGGTTCCATGATTTTCGTGTCCTGTCTTTTTTTTTTTCGTATTCATCAAGCTATCGTGGATTAAATCGCTTTCAATTCTTGAGATTCTATAAGCCAGCAGCAGCATTTACCATGTGCTATCGTACGTTGATGGCCAACTTAGATCCAAAGAATGGGTAAAAAGAAACTCATTCAGTTCCATACAACTTTAAAACATTTGATCAACCAAAAACTGCCCGTGAAAGCAAATTCTAATGCCGTCACACTCTCCACAAATAAATTCCCGTCGGAACTCTGCCGTGCACATCCCTACTCCAGTGATCGTCTCTCCTCTCTCCAAGCTTTCTCTCTCTCTCTCCTTACAAGCCACCTGGTGGTCAGCGTGGCCTTGTCAACGGCCTTGGCTGTAGATCGAAAACGCTCAATTGGTGCTCCAGTTTTCGCCCTACTGAGAGTTGGCAGGTACTTATGACACATCAGAGGCTCAAAACGCCCATGTATGGGAATCGAGCATATGGATGCCTTTTTTTCCGGGGGAGCAAAAGGGGCGCTTATCAAGGCTCAGAAGGGGATATACAAGTTGTGTGTACACCGCATAATTACATCATTGCGGATTATCATGATTTTGGAGTGCTTCACATGTACAGATAGGTAGACAGATCGGCTGTGAGGATATGACGAGTGACACCGGGTTATGTCGATTGCACGTACTGTTACGTAGATAGCATGTAGTCTGAGAACAAAGCAAAGGTACAGAAAGCCTTGCAACAGCCCCGAGTTCCGCCACGTCTTCAACAAAAAAACGTCAATGCAGTTTGGACTTTTTTCTTCTTGCTTTTTCCCCTCTTTGGGCCAAAGTGGCGTAGGCCTGTCCCAAATCTCGCTCTTGTTTACAAAAGAAAAATAGAAAAAGGAGAGAAAAATAGAGAATAAGAGAGAAAAGGAAATTTTTGAACTTCTGACTGAGAGAAAAACAAGGAATTGTAGCTTCTAGCATCCAGCATTCCTTCTTCCGTACAATTTCGTCTAGAAACCAGATATAAGGATAATAAGAGGGGGAAAAAAAAGTAAAACAAATTCAATACAATATGGGATAATAACAGAAAATAGCATAGTAAATAAGAAAATGACAGATCCAACAAGATATCGCTATCAACACCCCTCCCATGAATGTGCCCAAGACGTATACGGTGATGTACTTTTTGTAACCCAAAATTTGAAAAGGGAGTAGCAGAGATGGAAACTGTCGGAGCAGGAAAGAAAAAAGAAATGAAACCAGACTCAACCGAAGACTCCTGGAACACCCACACGACCACCCATTCCAGATCTGTAGGGATAACGAACGCAAAAGAGAGTAGGAAATGGTGACGATGCAGGGAGAGATAAGAGGTGCCCCCGGCCTTGGAGACAGCAAGTTGGCTGGCGTTGCTCGGTGGCGTGTCAAATCGTCAGGTAAAGCCAGAGGAGGGGAATAAAGAAACGAGTTTATTGCTCCCAAAACAAATTCATCAGCGAGCCGCGTTCAGGTTGTCCAGTAGCGATATAAACAGATTGGGAATCCAGCGCCGCAGGATGATGCCGCCAATGTGAATTGTATGTGTGCGTCTGTGCGTGCACATGTCTTACGCCATGCGCCAATTCGAGGAGCCGTAAGTTTTAAATAAAGATGCGTTTTCTTTCTCTCTTCTTTTTTTTCCAAAAGTGCCGTCGTAATCATATAAAAATACTGAAAGCTCGTCCAACAGCGGGGGAAGGGCTAAAAGAAAACAGAGCACCAGCTCTTGCTGCTGCGGAGTTGACGTCGCGTCAGCCCCGATCCATTCTATTCCCATCGAATGAGAGACACCTAGAGGATGCGATGTCAAGTTTCAACAAGTAGACAAAAGCATCAAAAAAAAAAAAAAAAAAAATCAGAAAAACAGAAAAACAGAAAAACCCGAGAGCATGCAGAATCAAGCGCGCGTTATCCAATCAACATGGCCCAGCCCTCAAGATGTATCGGAAGTTGGAAGATGAGACCCAATAGAGCTGCTCATAACACAATGCACTTGGACTTGCCCTTGCCACCGCCGCGCCCGTACTTGTGCGAATCTCGGCCTCCTCCGCCTACTTCGCCATTGCTTGTTCGAGTTCGGCCGCTTGAGCCCGCCGCGGGTCGTGAAGCCTGCTGGCGTTGCCGGCGTAGAATCCTCACGACGTCGTAGAAGGCCTTTTCTACGTTGATGCAATTCTTGGCTGAGGCCTCGACGAATTCACAGCCCAGCTCCCGAGCCAAAGCATGTCCCTCTTGGGTCGATACCTCGCGCTCGGTGACTCTGTCGCTCTTGTTGCCGACAAGCATGATGGGCACAGGCAGTTGCGAGTTGGTGGCAGAAAGAGGAGAGCCGGGGTATGACGGTGAGGAAGCTACCGACTCCTTGACGCGCTGGATCTGGTGGTGAAACCGCTTAATGCGAGTAAAGGATGAGCGGGATGCGATGCTGTAGACCAGCACAAAACCTTCGCCGTCGCGAATCCATTGGTCTCGCAGCGCTGTGTACTCCTCCTGGCCGGCCGTGTCGAGCACCTCAAGCATGCAGGGCTGGCCATCAATGACCACCTGCTTGCGGTACGAGTCCTCAATTGTCGGGTCGTACTGTTGGCATCAACCGTTAGCTAAAACGTGTATCTCGCGGTAGACGACTCCCTATTGTTTCCGCTCCTCTTCCATTTCCCGCCACCGCTCAACCCAATGGGCCAGGAGAGGGGAAGCAGGAATTGCAGACGCTTTCTTTCTTTCTTTCTTTCTTTCTTTCTTCCTTCCTTGCATGTCTGTTCTGTTCTGCGCCTCGTAGCGAAGGGGGGGGAAAGGGTTATGCTTACCGTCTCAACGAAATGCTGCAGACACAGCTGGATGGTCAAGGCCGTCTTGCCAACACCACCATCTCCCAGCACCACCAGTTTGTACAGCACCATTCTGCCCGCCATGATGGGCGCAAGTTAGTGGTCGAGCAACCGAGCTAAGGCTTTCAATCCTAGGGTTTTGGCCGGCGATTCCAAAAGGGCCCGCTAGCGGCGCTGCGAAAGGAGGAGGGGGATGGAGATGAGCAGCAAAAGCAATGGAAAAGGACGAGGCAGCGAGGCGGCAAAGCAGCAAAGCAGCTCGAGGGCGCGGCGCGGCGACGGAGCAATGGCTGAGGAGATGCGGTGCGAGCGGTGCAATGCAATTGGAAGCAGAGGGAGGTGGTTTTGGGGAGGGATGTTTGTGTCAGTTCCAGCACGGCCAAAAAGACGAAGATGCTCTGGGCGACCTTGGAGCTGGTCGGGGTGGATTGTGGTGGAGAAGCAGGAGTGGGTTCTGGGCGGGTCCGGCTTTGGAGTTGGGATAACAAGAGCCAAGAGGCTTGCTGATAGGGGGCTCTGGAGGCGGTTACGGGAGAGCGGTTTAAAGAGGGACGCGGCCGTTCGCAGGGAAAATGGAGGCACAGGCGGGCTAGCAGGCCCAGCAACGGCATGGAGGTGCTAATGCCACATGCAGCAGTATGTGTATGCAGCCTGTACATGCACGTCTGGAGCGTGGACGGACAGGCAGATACTGTAGGTACCTGGTATGCTTGGAGGAGCGGCGGATGGACAGGTGAATCACGCAGGCAGCGCGGATCGGGGCTGTATTGACGACATCGGTCTGTAGCAGTACTCGCTGCGTATCTTGCCTGCATCTGGCGCCTTGGACAGCAGAGCAGAAAGTTTTGCTGGTGCGGAGAGCGTTCGAGGTCTAGGACGTTTGAGCCTAGTGGGAGGTGCTTGCGTGTAGCGCGAGGTGAGGAGCAACAGCCTGCGGCCACGCATGTACTTGTACAGGTACCAACACGTTGAGGCGCATTCTCCTCCAAGGGGACACGCATTGGGCTGCTGCTTCAGCGAGGCCAGGCAGAAGAATGCCGCTCAATTAGCAGCGCCAAGCTGGTCCTAGCAGCACTGTCTGCGCTGAATAGCAGCGCCTTAGCTGCCAGTTAGTGGCAGCCGGAACCCCCAGAGCTGCGCGCCCAGGCCCTGCCCCGGGCCGGCTAAGCCCTTCTGGGGACACAAAGCAGCCAACCCACGCAGAGGCTTTCGCTCGTACAGGCACGCGTACAGGTACTTGCCTGGCATGCTCGTACACTCGTACAGGCCCGAAGACACGCAGCAGCACAGGCATCTGTCTCTGACCAATGATCCCCTATTCTGCTCTCTGCTCCCCTACAGGGCTCGTCTGCAACCTGCGTCCGCCGAGCAGCATGGCTTTTGCAGCCAGCAAGGCATGGATTGAGCTTGGAGCTTGCGGCCCCGACAACCCTGCGGCCAAAGCGTCTGGGGCGGCTTTGCTTGGTGCTTGTCTCGCTGCTGTCTGTGGACGGTATAACCCAGACCCTGGAAGCTTGCGATTGGTACCTCCGCGATACTTTGACCTAAGCCTGCAACGCAGACAATTAGCGGCCCAGATTATGTCAGAGCGCTGCAGCAAGGGAACCATCGGCATGGTTGGACCAGCACGAGCGAGCACATACTGTATACGAGTTGCGCACCTATCGGTCGCATACCTATCGGTCGCATACCTATGCCGCCTGTATACCCTTGCGATGCGCTGTCTGGCAGTGTAAGACAGGGTTTTGGGCGAGCAGAGCAGCATCGTGATATGGAGCCTCGACATGTACAGTATGTATGTAGGCATTTTAACGAGCTGCAGACTCATGCATCGAGATAAAAGTCCGAGCCGGAGACGAAGCATGGCCACTTACCTCTGGTCGTACCAAGCATGGGCCCAGTGCTACCCGAGAGGTACCCACGAGGTACAGTAGAGCAGTAGGTGTACTTTAGTTAGCAGTGCCTCCACTGCCGCCAGATGCTGGGCTTCGCAGTACCTGCCATGAAGGCCGTGAAATGATTCAATTTCCATGGATGCCAATTTGCGTTGAAGGGTCCACGACGACATCCGTACGTGATTAAACCACAAGGCTCTGCAGGCACCAGGTATCGGCGGAAATAAACCGAGCAGAGGTGCTAATATGCAGTAATACTGTACTGCTGATAGGATCAATACCCTTTCATTGGTGCTGGCCCAACGGGTGCGCACGGCAAATCCAGATCGAAACAGGCCTGGCCAGCCACGGCGGTTGGGCAGCATTTCTACCCTTCTTGTCCCCGGTTGGCCTTCAAACTTGCAACTCTCCAACTCCCGTCCCCAGCCATGCCAGCATTAGCCAGCCATAGCCAGCCAACCGCCATCAACCGGCGCGCCCAGCTATCGGCGCCAGTGGCCTCCATGGCCTGGCGCAGCCGAGCCAGTCGGAAGCAATTGATGGCCAGAGATGCAGCAAGGCCGCCATCACACGAGCACGACATGTGCCAACCTTGCGGGGGCCGCATCCCCAGCCCTCGCTCGCAAAGCTGGTTGGAATCTGCAAACTTGGCGAGGCTCGTCTCTCGTCCTTCGCGCCCTCATCCGGGGCGACCCGACGCCGCTGGCCATGCCGTCAAACCAGCGTCTCGCCTCTTGCTTGGGTCCGTTGCAAGCGTCGATGTCGGCGCAGCGATGCTGCATCCGTAGCGCGCTGCGGCTGGCGGAAGCGACGCGCTTTACGGAGCTTGGGAGCGCGGCAGCAGCATATCCCTACTGTACATACTTGTACAAGCAGTATAGTAGCATCAAACGGCGAGCCTCTGAGGACGGGATTTGGGGTTTGGGGTTTGGGATTTGGGACTTGGAACTTGAAGCTATCGATCTGCAGCGCCGGCTGAGCTAGCGGTCGGCACCGCAGTTTCACAGGCTTGGCTGTCCGCTGAGCATCGACTATTCTACTCTTAGGTACTAGTTGTAGCAGCACGGAGCTAGTCATTGATACTTGACAATGTCTGGCTGAAAGTCTGAGATCCCAGCATGGCCGCTACGAGATGTACGGGCAAGGAGCGTGATATCAATGGTCTGATTCCCCGTCGTCTTGCCCCGATATTATCCTCTTGCGATACTAATGCGGAATCCGCTCCCTTGCTAGCATCTGCAGACAGAAGCTAAAGAGACGAAGGGGACAAGAGCTGAAGGAGAAGGAAGAGGAGAGGCTATTTGATCGGCTCTCTCGCAAAGCCAAGGACAGACAGATTTTGACGGTACTCGAGAGCGTCTAGGCTCGGCAGCATCTCCTTCGGCAATCATCCCTACCACGCCGAAGGCCTCTGCTTACTGTACTGTACAAGCTCCGAGTGCGTGCCTAGACACTCACCTCTGTATCGCGTATTCATGCACAAGGCCGTGCGCAAACGGGGGTCACAGAGGACGAACCCCCCGCAGAGTAAGCTGAGGATGCGTCTGCTCGTGCATCTTGCCATAATCAGCATGCCTCTCCTGTGTGATGACAGCTGCAGCGGCCCTGCTCTGGCAATGCCCGCCTATTTATCTGTACATGCGCGCTAGAAAATATATTACTTCGTCAGCTTCTTACACGCGCCATGTAGCCGGCAAGTCTCGGTGCTTGGCGCTCTCCCCAGGCTGAAGGCTGAAGAGTCAAGACTCGCAACAACTCGACCCATATGATGACGAGTCCACCATGCTGTATCGATGCAGCGAGCCGGTACGGGACACTGGAGCTAGGGCACTCGGCGTGGAGAGATCGATCAGAGCGAGCGAAACGTGGACTGCTCCGAGCCATGGATGCCAAAAGTGACATTCGGCATGCCTTGTCTCCGAGCGGCAACGGCGTCCAATGCTTCGTCCAACGATCCGTCGCATGTTGCGTGGGAGGCTACATGCAGTCTAACCTCATGTTGGCTGAGGACGTCGACCCGCAGCGATAGGCCACAAGCTGCATCCGTTTTAGCATTTGATGGACATGAAGCTCTATCATACTACCAGTACCTACATACATACTGTACGACCTCTGTACTCTTGCAGCTGCCAGTAAGACGGCGTACTGGGCAGCACCTTTACTTCCTCTTCCTGCTCTTCCGCCAATGCCTGCCTGTCTAGAGCCAACGGCATATCGGTCCTAGTCAGATTTGCACAGCCTTATGATTCCAGGTCACGCCCGTCGGCGATTATCTTCCATCTCTCGCTTACAGGCATGGATACAGCAGTATTTGCCACTTCGGGCTTGTACAAAGCAACAGCTCCCCAGCAGCAGTCAACAGACTTTTGGCCTATCAACGACGCTTTACTCGCTCGAGGATGCGCTACGGCCGTTAGTACGACTTACACGAAGCATGTGTCTTCTGCTACTACTTGTATGATTACATAGCTCTACATACGGTAGCACTGCGTCTGCGCGGGGAAGCATGTCGCTCGGTCAAGCAATTCTTTCCCCTTCCGCGCAACACGTTGTAGCATGGATATAATGCCTGCTACATACGCAGCTACACACGCAGCTACATAGTGCGCAGTCCAAATGTCGGGGTTTGCCGGTGTCTTGCTAGCCTAACCGGCCGTCTCCTTTCCTGCATACCGGCACGCAGGTGATGCTTACGCGCGAGCAACAGCTGATCCTGAATGCGAGCCAGCGTCATCCGAACCGGGCGCCAAGTGATTGGTATTGGTGAGCGAGCATGGTATGTGTAAAAGTATCACCGCCAGATGCATGTCTCATTGCCTTGTGATAAGCCATCTCCGGAGCGTACATGTGCAAGTGGCGGACAATCTAACTAGCCGGTCGGCACGATTATGGCTTCTTAAATCCTTGTATCACCGCGAAAGTAAACGCGAGATGGCGAGAGACGAAAAAGAAGCTGCATGCGATACTGATCCACCAGGTCACGTTGGACTCAGCTGCGTCGGCCAAGGCATCCGAACGAACCCTGTCGTTTTTTATGCTTCTCTTTCAGCCCCACGAATCACGATTTGTGTTCTCTCGGGTACTCCCGAACGGGGGATCATCAGCACATACACACAGTATGGGATGAAACTGCGCAGCCAGTGCTGTGTTCATCTCAGCTTGCGGAGCTTGTGGCCATGGAGGATCTAGACGGTCTACTCATAAGATGAAGCGAACCTTTGGTGCTCAAATCAGGAAGCTTCATCTCGATGTGAGCAGTGAGTATGACCCCAAACGTGAATCAAAGCTGAAAGAGTGTGGCTTGTAGACTTTCTTGTGAAAACTGTTTGTAGTAGCCTCCCTCATTGCAGTAGTTGTAAAAACTCTTTTGAAAGCCTCGTGGAGATGTAGATTTGTCCGCGTATGTAACATGAAGCTTACAGATTATAAATGGTTGTGAACTCACTCAATAAACATGTTACTGACGATCATGTCTCATGAGAGATGCTGCTTTGGGCTCTCTAAATTGAGGAGTTGATAATTGAGTAGGCTTGACTGCAATATTGCTTGACACTGGCAATTCCTATCATCTAATTCGGCTCATATTTAACCATGACTATTACAATGAGATGAAAACGGTATCAGCAGTGGCACTTGCTGGTGGTTCTAAGCTTTTATCAACATGGTTATAGATTATTTAACTACAAATACAGTTACTATAGAATCAATCCAAGCCGCAAAGTCTGGTGCAAGAAAGGGGTCTGGTTCAACCTCGAGTTCAATGACTACGTATCAAGGTGGTTACTTCAAGCAAAACATCTCATCCATCTCCGTGACAATATCTAGACCAATCAGCTTATCCACTCTTTTCATTACGCGTTATAAGATGTAAGAGTTGTTTGTATAAACATCACGATCCTATTTATCAACCTCATAACTTATGCGCAGTCGTTGTTCAAGCCAGTCAAGTCAAACATGTACAGCCCATTGCCCTCTTTCCAATCAACAGCTTCCTACTCTACATACCAAATGCGTCGTGACTACTCCAATTCCGCCAACTTCTTCGCAACAGTCAAAAACCCATCCTCCTCCTCCGTCACCCACAGATCCGCCCACCCTTTCGCCTCCTTATATCTCTCCTCCTCCGGCCCCCAAGCCTCCTCTTTACTCCTCTCAACGTATATAGTTCTCAGTCCACACCCCCTCGCAGCGTGCAGGTCCCCCAAGTGCGCTGCCACCAGAGCCACCTCCTCCGGCTGCAATCCCAGCGCCTGCACAGCGCCGAGGTACGTTGCAGGATTGGGCTTGTAAGCCTTGAACGTCTCAGCAGAGAAGACTTCGTGAAAAGTCAGCCCCCCAAAGTCGTTTACGTCACGTAGCAGGCTGGTGTTTCCATTTGAGAGAGTTCCAGTGGTGTATTTGCGACTCAGCTCCACGAGACCGTCTGGGGAATCGGGCCATGGGGAGAGTCTATGCCAGACCAAGCTCAAAGATGTAAGCTCCGTCTCCGTGAACAATCCGTCGAGATGCCATTTCTTCAGAAGCTCGACGAGGCTTTCGTAATGGTGTTGATCAATGCTCTTCCAGGCATCTGTTTCCGGGTTGAAGGATCTCGTAAAGGCAATGTATGCGTTGCGCCACTCTTGTATGAACCTGTCCCAGTCTGCCTGAGTGAGGCCCTCGAGGCGGGTCTTCAAGGCAGACGGCAAAACATTTTCGGATCCAAGTTTGCGGAAGATTCGAAGGGATATTTCGTCAGTGACAGAAGCGCGCCAGTCAACTGTGGTGCCGAAGATGTCAAAGAGGAGGGCTTTGACGTGGGTGAGGGGGGAGACTGCTGATGGCATGGTTTCTTTTCCCTTGATGAATGTTTCTAGGTTGGAATTTTATTAGCTGTATATTTACATCTGTGGGACTCTTTGGAGTTGGGTTTACTGTAGTTATTGTATAATTGAAGCAGATACTGCAGTCTTTGGCCTAATAAGCTATGAGGTAGTTTACAATCTCAGTTGAAGGTAAAGCGTCGCCGAGGTTAAAGTTGGATCTACAAGATCACATGATTAGATGTCGCCATCCGCAAACAGCAACTTCCCAGCGAATGACTCATAAAATAAAAGTGTAATCACATGTGTATGTTTTTTTTTATCGACAATATAGGCAAGCAAAAGCCAGCGCGGTGAATGTTGGGGATTTTTTGGGATTGGGTTGTAGGGTAATAAGTCGTGAGACCGGGCGGAGCGGTTTAGCATATTACCATCATTATCTTGATCATATTTTGGAATATGAGTAAATCAACTTATAACTATAAAGACCTCGTAATAATATTCTATAGAGGGGATAATGCAATGGTGCATTGCTTTTGAAAAAGCAAAAGGCTAAAGGGCTGAGACACAGATGAGTATTTACGGCTGTAGCTTGCACCGCTACGTATAAGTGATACACCTTCTTATATACAAAAAACAAACAAATCTCCTTTCATTCAAGCACTTTTTTTTTTGATGAAATCCCACAACAAGATAAATTTCATTATATATTTGGATTCACCTTATATCTTAGACCCCCCAAGCTCCCTTTGGAGAAGCAGCTATTACGCCGTGATCATCATAGCCGTATAGAACCACACAGCAGTGCACCAATTTCACACCACGAATTACGCAACTGTATACAGCTCATATGTTGATATACGTACAAATCTTGTTGTCTGGCATCCATCAAACCACCAATCCACAAAAGTGCCAAGCGCTCACTTCGAACAAGCCACAAGAGAATCACCCCCTATATCTAGCAAAATTTCTCCCATGTACTACTAATAATCTGTCATCATGTGAACGAATTACTAGCAAGTAACTGATCCATCGCCGGATAGCATTCCAGTCGAGAGAATACGAGGTACAAATAACACTTTGATTACTATAAGTGGCTGTCTTACATGCTGATCTGCTCGGGGGATTGATCCGCGAGCACAGACTCCTTACTAAAATAACGTCGCCTGCGCAATGACCAACAACTCATATACTCGAAACAATCGGCATCAAAACATCGTTAGACTCAGGAATGTCAAAGCCATATTAGACCTTGACTAAGCTATTTATTAGCTTGATAGTGCTAGTCTT